ATTCGTGTCAACCTCCCTCCCCGTCACCAAATGTTTTCGGACCGAATACAATTATTTAGGCACAATTCCTCCGTAATTTCTCGCCAGTAAAGTAATGCTTTACGTTTCACATTTCGCCAAATGGATAACAATTTTGCCGAAATTCCTGACGACTGGGGGGTGGAACACCCCCACACACATCCTCAAACGACATTTAATTCTGTCCGTTGTAAAAGTTTTGCGCACCCGTTACACCCATAGTCTGCACCCGCACTGCACCCACAAAGTTGAAAATGCAAAAGGCAAGGGGTGCACTTGCACCCGCTGCACCTGTGGTTCCCGACATGCCTGATTTTGATGTAGTTAAATACGTCACAGTGCATGATTCAGCAAAAAACTACACTATTTTCTAGAGATGGACTATGGCTAACTGTAAACGAAAGGTTGCCTGTTCAAGCATAATATAATCTTCTTGAACCACAAGATCTTCTCTACAACATTTGAGTTCTGCTAACCAGCATTTGAACTTTCATTTAGCTGACATTTCAATACATCAAAATCATTGTTCCTTCCATCATGCAAACAGCCCTTAAGACGCCTGTTTCAGGAGGTAGGAAAAGGGCAAATCATTCGTGTTCTAAGCGTGATTGGCATGTATAATAATTCAGTTTTATGTTATAATTCATGTTCTAAGCTTGTTTGGCATGTAAAATGATGATAAGGTTTCTAAAGAACGACGGAACATGGTTGTATTTCATAATATCGGGTCGATCGATCGGACCATTCGACATTCACACATCGTAAAATGAACTTGCACTGCCACCCGAGACACTCGCGCAGTAATCTGCGCAGCAGGCGTTTGTTTGCTTTCGGGCAGCAATCTGTAAAATATTGTCCGACGGTAAACAATTAAGATTGTCCGGTGGATCCATCCGTACCATCTGTAAGACTGCTTTGTCGATCGGATACCGATCGTCAGTATCGGATATTTATGAAAACTAAACATGCAGGATTTTAAACGATTCTCGTTCAAGGCTATTTTAAATCCGTCAGGGCACCTAGTTCAGTTTGGTGAATGGCGTCAACTTCAATTCGAATACGTGGCATAAGCTGATTTTAATATTTCAAAGCAAGAAAAACAAACTGTAACGAATACCATCACCAATACTACACTTAGTCTGCGAACAGGCTGTCAAGGTGAAATGAGAGCATGGATCGATGACTAATGAATTTGAATATCTGCCCCGTAACGTTCGTTTTTCCAAATATGCAGGGTGCGATAATTCGCGTACCAACGTACCGGAGGTACGCCAAATTTATGGTCTGGTACTTCTTTGTTTTTTAGGCAAGTACCACGTAGGTACGCGGAAATTTGCTATTCGCGTACTTACATTTTCCTTCTAGCAATAACTACCAAACCTGCCAAAGTATTCAAAACCGTGAAGAACGTACTTTAGCTGTACATGTAAATTCCACGAATCCGACATATGTGGGGATGAAAAAAGCAAAAAGGTTATCTATGCGCTTGATCAAAAAAATTATCGTCATCATCCAACTAAAAAAAAATCGCTCGGGTGAGCGATTTTAAAATCGTTATCGTCAAACGCCGATAATTTTATCGTTTTCATTGTAGTACAAGTTATCGTATCATTATCGTTGTGTGGTGTGACCTGGGCTTAACTGTCTAAAAATAAGGCCTAAAAATAAATACCTGTGGTTCCGGTTTCCCGACCGACCCTATTTTTTCTCCCCACTTATTTTTTTCAACACGATTGAATGTGCGACACTATTTTCTCCGGGTGGTTGCGGGCTGCTTGTACAGCGTGCCAAAATGGCGTCTGATGTCACATGATAATTATCGAACCAAATTGCCTAAATTCGTCCGTAGGAACTACGTATCTCTAGTTAATATTGATGTCGGGACCCTACCGAAAATCGCCCAGCACAAAACCGCCAAAACCATGAAAAAAATATTCAAAAAATTTTTATTTCCGACCTAGCTACCCTAATTTTTTCGCGATATGAAACTGGAACCACAGATTTTTTTTGGCTCAATGAGGAAAACTACACTATATGTAGCTGAGGTCAGACTGTTAGCACCCTCGGTAAATCCACTGTAAATGAGCGATGGCATCCGCGTCACAACGTCGACGCTTTGAAAACTGTTATATTATTATTGAAAACTGTTATATTATTTTGGACCAGTAAACTATACGTAGATATAAAAACGCATGACTCGGAAGTAGTCTTAGGTACGTCTTGACTCTTAAGTTTGTACCAGACCAGGTACGCGGCAAAAATTGTCGGAGTACCAGTCAGGTACGGCTAAAAATATTGAATTATCGCACCCTGATATGGAGTGTCTATCCTTGTATGGTTAGACCGTGGAAACTAAATTTAGACCGTACAGTTTATACTGTTTTTCGAAATATAAGATATTCAAACAAAAGTTTAAATGTTTTAAATACTGTTTTCTCAAAACAGAACATTTTGTGCTTTGATATAAGATGGCCAAGACCAATTTGATCAGTTAATTAATGTGTTTTTTATGCATAGTGCTTCAGCATTTGACATATATATTATAGAAACATTTAAATTATAGCATTTGACCAATGAGAATTTCGCGTCACGATGACACGATTTGAGACGCAGATATTCAAATTCATTAGTCATCGATGCAGGCTCTTATTTCACCTTGAGAGCCTGTTCGCAGGCTATATTACACTCATATCTTATGACTGTTCTATTAAATTTTTAATTTACAGTTAAAGAAAAACCAAGCAACGAAAATCCAGATAAAGTGTATATATTCGGGAGTAGACAAGACAGAATGGTTTAACGCCATTGGTTTCTCTCCAGATGATCAGTTCACGAATCCCAAAAACACATTCTCACTAATTTAAAACTGATATGAAAGGGTCAGTTGTCTCCTGCAAATTATTCAAGCAATTAATTTATGGTATATAAACCTCTTCTTTATTTAGCGTTCTCCTTTTCTTTCGGCAATAAGTAGTCGGTCGAATTACATTCAAAACCATCCGATTTTCTATACTTATAATCCAAACTCATTCAAACTTTTCATTGGTTAAAGGTGACAGACTAATCCAGGGGAGGGACTAACGAATCACTCGCGCTTCGCGCATGTATTCTTATTTCTCCAGAACTACGGAATGTTTTCCATTATTGTGTTAAGCCGGCGCATGCACAGCTAACCACTATGTAAAAAAACACAAAAGCGGTGTCGCCGTGTGACAGGGCATAGCCTGCGCATGTGCGGAATATTGTAGTTAGGGGCATACAAGAGCCGTTGGTTTATGAAATTCTGTAGTTAATTAAAGCTTTTTACGCTTTTTCGTTTCCGCATAATTAAACCAGGTTGATATCGTCGGTTTAATTTGGAGGTTCATATCTTTGGTCCAGTGCATGCTATGTAGATGAAAATACCACCGTTAGATTCAGTGAAATAATTCTTATCTATGGTTTTAGTAAAATGTCAACATTAACGATTTACGATCTTTAGAGGTCAAGCGATACCATATTTCACACAATTTTCCCGAACAATGTAAACAATGTATTACCAAGGCATACCCTTCGCCGAACATAACTTCGGCTCCTTTCAACATATTTTTTTTTCGTAATAGTCTAGTGCAAAACATATTCCAAGACACTAATAAGAGTGCTATTTTCAAGCTTTTATCTACACATTTGCATCTTTTATTTGGTATTTCAGGATATCTAATTGCTTAGCGAGAGCTTCAGCCGGAAATACAAATGGATTGTCGAAACACCGGCGATATTTAAATCCTAGCACTCGGTAAACGTCGGAAACCACACGGAAACCGATTCTAAAGGTCAAATCACATCTGAAGTGTGGCCGAAGTTATGTTCAGCGAAAGGGATGGCAAGTCTATATTTTGATTGAGTAATTTGATAATATATAATTTCGCTTGTCTTTCAGAGGCCATAACACGTTCAATGGTTGAAAAATCAACCAAGATGGTCTCGTTTGCAAACAAGCAATCAATTTACTTATTTTAAACGAAATTAGCTATACGCTATAACAATTTCCAATCCAATAGGCTAACCACATGTATGCAATGCGTACCTATTTTTTTCCGACAAGCTAAGAAACGTCTTTATAATTACTCAAAACCCAATCTGACAATTTAATAGAACGTTTTTAATTTTTCTAATTGCTGACTAACAATGGAGAACAATTTCCTTTGCCTCTTACACCACATCAAGTGCCATTTCACTAAATCTATTGAAGCAAAGATTAGCAAATTTCTCAGCATGATTACTATCTACCGTAACATTACTGGCTATTTGCCAGATCATTTTACCAGTAATGGTGTAGTTAAAATGAAAAAAAGTGCAGTTCATATATGGTATGGATAAGATTGTTTATAATACATTCGTGAAGTTTATAAGTATCATGTTGCTGTTCGCCTAAGTTAAAAGATCCGAAACTTGATATGAAATTGCATTCTGATTTCGGAAATAACTTATCATTAAATAATAATTTCACACGTTCTTCTGGCTCCATTATTCCACTAATTACCGTCTCTTCAACGACATATGCTTCTTTCCTCACAAATTGTTTTATTCGCCGAGTAGTCTCTTAGGCTAACTTCCAAAAGTCAACACCCGCCCATGCTACATACTTCATGTAAAAGTCCTTATTGACATAGACAAAACAACCCAGGTATAGGCCGTTTGCTGAGGCATAATATCGTTCACTTTCATTTAGCATGTCTTAGAACTGAAATATTTTTACATTACTTACTATTTTCGAAGACACCGAACACGATTCCGAAGAGTTCCCGCTCAGTAGACCCGCAGTATTTTTTTAATTGCCATTTATATTTTCACTTATTCGACAAACAACATGCCATCGCCCGCCATTTTGAATTTCGTATAACATCGGCATAAGTCCTCTTATCTCGTCCCCAGCCTTTCCATTTCGTGACCGCGTTACGATTTAGATCCATGTTTTTTAGTGAAAATAAAGATGGCGCGAAATGGATAAAGGCAGTGACTGTAGTGACGGCATTTGTGTAATTCATTTTGAGGGAAAAGAAGGGCAAATTAAATATTTAACACAAGAAACACTAGATAAAATAGTCGAAAGAAGGGAACAGTGGCTATGTCTATCGTCGGAATATTCAGATTTTACGAAGGTAGCAAAAAAGTCGTTTGAGTTTATCCCAGAAAGTTTGAACGTAAATGACATTGCAAAAAACTATTTCTATCATTCCGCATGTTGTCGCAATTTCACTGACATCAGTAAGTTTGAAAGGGCCAAAAAAATATTGAGTAATGCAGGTAGAAAGCGTCAAGGTGATAGCCCCAGCGAGAAGGAGGAAGAAGTCAAACCAACGCCAGAAAAAGTACCCCGAACTACGAGACAATCTTTTGCAACTGCACATGCTACATCGGCTTCTGGATCGTCAAGTGTTTTACCCAAGTCTTGTTTGATTTGTAAACAACCGGGACCAATCTTTTTTACAGATAAGGTATTTTTTTATTTTTATGTTGCATTATACTTATACTTAAGCATTATACACAATGATATAGTTAATCATCTGATACACTAAATATATTCTTTATAGGCGACAAGAAAACGTGTAAAACAAGAATTATCAGTTGCACAAACGTTAACAGCTGGAATTTTGGAAAAGGCGGCAGCGTTAAAAAATGATGAAAGTATACTTTTGCATATTCGTGGAAAGGACTGTGTAGCAATAGAAGCAAGGTATCACAAAAATTGTTACCAGAGGTATACGAAATGTGTTTCAAATAAATCAAGAGATTCTGGTCCGACCTTGTATGATAGAGCCTTTGAAGAATTTTGCACACGAATAATTGAGCAACGCATCATTAAAAACAAGGAGATTTTATTTCTTAGCTACCTATTAAAAACGTTTATCAGCTGTGTGCAGGAAATAGAACATATCGACGTACCCTACCAGGCTGCCAGACTTAAGACCAGGATTGGAATGCGATATCCGCAAATCATTTTTCATACCTCAAAAACTATGAATAAAGGAACTCTCGTTTATGCAGATAATGTGATTCCAGGTGAAGTGGCCGATGATTTGATGGAAATACGCAACAAAACACAAGATGACGATGACGAATTCAATGCACACGATCCATTAAGTGATATCACCCAAACTTCATCGCAGGTTAATGGCTGTTCTTTTTAAGATTTTTTTTCCGTTGCAATGGAAATAAAAAAGCTTTTGCAAGAAAGTAAAGGCATAGATGCTGACTGGCCCCCTGATTCCCATGACTAACTTTGCAATCTTCCAGGAAATCAATTCCGGTGAAGTTATACAACTTCTTAGCATGGGCTATGGGGTTCTCTGATCAACCACTTCGTGAGGAAAGGGTGCAAATCAGTGGAAACGAGCAAACTAAACTATTGTCGATAGCGCAGGACCTGATCTATGCGGAATCGAAAGGCAGGAAATTTACCCACAAGTCACTGGCTCTTGGAATGACCGTTCGCCAAATCACTGGATCAGTTCGATTGCTTCGTATCTTGCATGGGTTGGGACACACAGCATCGGTGGCTACTGTTTACAAGCACGACACTGCTTTAGCCATTGCCAGCAGCAGAGGACAAGATATCATTATTCCACGTAATATTAACCCGGGCAAGTTTGCCACAGTTGTTTGAGATAACAACGACTTCAACGAAGAAACTGTCTCTGGAAAGGGAGCTACCCATGTGGCGAATGGAATTATGTTGCAAAACGGGAACACAACCTTGGGAGATCATGCCACTGTGAGTAAGTCGTGCCGTACTGTACAAGCACCAGAAACGTATATCGCACCTTACACCAACCGAGAAAAAGGAACCATATCTTTACGAAGCCACAGTTCTGACATTTCCATTGACGACAAAAGCTATCAAGATGAGCAGCAATTTGCAAGGAATGCTGATTTTGTGTACACATTATCGCGTAAGTACGCATCTGAGAGTGGGCTCTTATTTCCAGGATGGACCGGGCTCAATACGCAAGTTCACAAAGAAATTCCTACTGTCACAAACATTGGTTACTTGCCGGTGATCGATGCGCCAGTCACGGATTTGGCAACAGTTAATGCCTTACTCAAGCACAGAGTTTCTATATGCCAACGCCTTCAACTTCCAGAGATCGTGCTGTATTTGACGAAGCACTCTATGCCAAAGCGCAGATGCTAAGGTGGAAGAACGAAGAATGTAAGAATCGACTGGTGATTAGACTGGGAGACTTCCACACCATTATGTCGTTCTGCAGTGCCATAGCTAAAATTTTCAAAGACGCGGAACTGGAAGTGGGTTTTTAATACCTCATTTGTCCGTCCGTTCTGTTGTTTATTAGTTTGTATGTTTGTGCGTTTGTGTGTTTGCTTGTATGTTCACCTTCTATGAAATCATCTACTAAGCTAATCCAAATATTTGTTCGTTTATTTATTGAATGACAAATGCAAATTGATCGACGTACAATTAACAGTGTGCATTTTTCCAAATTGATATTTTAGGATATCATGATCGAATCAGAGATAGTTGCCCCTGGATCCGTTAAAGGTGTGTTATCTGGGAAGCATTATAATCGCTCTGTAAGAGTTCACAAGTTAATTTATGAAGCAATGCAAAGGATGCCATTTGAGGCATTTGAAAAGTCCTTAGCAAGTTCTGCGTCCAACCAGTTTGACTGGGTTGGTATCAATGTTCTGGAGGATTCTGAGAGAGAATCGTTTACTGAAATCTGTACGAGCAAGCAGGTCAATGATGCAAAAAGGGCTTATGATACGTTCGTGGAAAAACGAAGCGAAGAGAATCCTACGTTTGCCCTCTGGTCCAAATATATCGACATGGTTCAACTACTCCTACTCTACATCAGAGCAACGAGAACATCAAATTGGGAACTAAACCTTAGTTCACTCCGGTCAATGATCCCCTGGTTTTTTGCAACGGATCGAGTGAATTACTCCAGATACGCGCCCTGCTACTGGCTTGAAATGTTGTGTTTAGAGAAAACTCACCCCTGTAAGTGACGATCACTATTCATTTTGTGTTACTCGTATACGTTAAATTATATTATTAGATTTGCTTCTGAATCTTGAAACTAATTTTCTGTATAGTAATTAAATGAGTTCTCTTTTTATGTTTTTTCTATAATTCCTGTGGAGATGTGGCAGCTAACATTGGAGATAACTGGACCGTACGACAGAACGAGCATGCTTTTTCAAGCGTGGCGTGTGATCAAACGATCGAGAAGACCCTGAATAGGTTAGTAGTCCTTTATCGTTGCCTCGAAAAACATTTAATATAGCGGTTTCGTGTTAATATAGCTTACATCAATACGATTATTGTAATAACATACATTTTTTTCTTGTTTTGAACAGAGATTCGAAAATGAAAGGTGGTCTTGTGGGGATAACGTTAAACAAGGGAGCAGTGCATCGCTGGATAATGGGTCAAGCAGAAAGGAGTGCAATCACTACACAATGTGAAGCCATGGCAAGTGTCACTGATATCAAACGGTCTGTAACGAAGATACCACATAAAAACACACAATAAAACACGCAAATGTAAACTGTCATTGTGCATAATTCATCATCCACGTGCGTCATATTTTTATTTATTTTGTATTGTTTTTGTTATGCATTTTTTGCAGAAATAAAATGATAAAAAATTCTTACCTAGGTCGAGAAAAGATTTAGACAAGAAAAGGATAGCAGCAGACCAGAAAGCAGCTACAAATGTCATTCAAACTGTACAGACTATGATAAACCCTTTTGACAATGAATACCAAGGGTTGGTGCACTTAGCAAGTGGATTTGTCGCTACTGTGTCAGTAACCAGTGATATGAAAACCATGCTCGAGAAAGGCGAATGTGCTGCAGTTGAGTTTATGGAGTCCAATATTGTAGGAGAAGAACCTGACATTTACACCAAGATAAAGAAGACGCAGTTACAGACATTCTCTCTTATTGGTAAGAAGGTCAATAGCAAAAGTAAGAAAGGTGAGTTTGTCGCCCTGAAAAACTCAAAAGCGCTTTTTGCGAAAATGCTTCTGATAGCCAAGAGTCGCAATTTGGAGATGGAGGAAGTGTTGACGTATTCTCTCCGGCCGTATCCACACCCATTGGCTACGAATGAAGGTGACCTCGTAAAGACTGTTAAAGCTAAATTGCTCAAAATGATTGAAGATGAAATACAAGATGGTTCAGTTGACCTTCCTGTTGGAGACAAAGCATATATTTTTTATGCCATGGCAATATTACAAACATTCACAGTTCTCCCAGCAACATTTGGAGAACTTGCAACGGATTTTCTGGCTAAGATCGTCAACACTGCTGTTTCTTTAAATTTCAGTCGGGTTGATTTCATCTGCGATAGATATCCAGAAAAAAGCATCAAGAATTTGGAGAGGGACAAGCGAGCTATGGGTGGAACTAATGTCCTTTGTTTATACAGCGAGCAACAGCGAGTTCCTCGGCAGTGGAAGAAGTTTATGGCAGTGGAAGAAATTTATCTTCAACACCTGGAGAAATGCGGATTCACAGGCTCTGAAAGGCGTCGAAGTGTTTCTCGCACACGAAGACAAATGTCATAAGTTAACCGAGTTATTAAGCGATATGAGCTGCACTGAAATCGAAGAACTTTCCTGTGATGATGAGGAAGCAGATACTCGTATGATTGCTCACGCAAGACATGCATCCCTGTCTTATTCCAATGTCGAGTCCGGATACAGACGTGTTCCTTATTGCACTGAACGCTATAAATGACATTATTGCTAATCTGTTTCTTGAAACTGGGAAAGGAAATGCAAGGCGAATCATCTCGCTCAACAAGACGAAACAGCATATCGGAGAACAATGGTGTTCCTCGTTAATAGGCATATGTGGTCGCCACCTGATGTCTCTTCACAGATGAAGAGAAAAATACGCTTCAGGGACCATTTATTATTTATGCCAGGGGGGCTGCCAAGATTTGTCAGTTATTTGAACAAAATGCCTTGACCCCCCTTTGTAGAAATACAAAATACCATTACCCCTCCCTGCACACTATTTTAAAATGCAGACACCCCCTCCCCTCTCATCCCCTAAATATGTTGGTGACAAGCGAGAAAATTTTGGAAATTTGAAGTCCCTATATTGTCTGAAATTACATTTTTAGGGTGTCTTTCCTAACTTCAAAGTCTTTCGATCCTGCCCGAGTGTTTCTCGCACACCAAGGTCCCGACCTTGGTATTACTAGCCCAACGCTGTACCATCTGAGCTACGCGGTCAATTCCAATTACATATCTTATATTAAATGTGACATTTATGTATTCAAGGCTTATCCTTTCTTGATAGGTTGTGACACAACAAGTGCTTTTTATGGAAAAGGCAAAGTTAAAGCGTTGAAAATCGCTAGGACGAACGACGAGTATGCAATACTTTTTGGAAACTTGGGTAAAACCGTCACACTATCGACACAACTAAAGAATGGGTTATACGGTTTCGTGTGTCACCTTTACGGTTACGAAGGTAGGTCTGATGTTAATTCTGTTCGGTATGAAATGTTTAAAGGCGGCAAATACGATGAAGAGTTACTACCCCCGAATCAAGATTCACTTGACAACCATATACGTCGAGCTAACTATCAATGCTACATCTGGCGACATGCCGTGCAGCCAATATTACGTCTGCCAGACTTTTGCGACCACGGTTGGAAGTTGGATGAAGAAGGAAATGTCACATTTAACTGGATGTCTCTTGCCCCAGCTCCCGACTCAATTCTTGAGTTCGTTAATTGTAAGTGCAAGAAAGGTTGCGAAAACGCGGTAATGAAGTGCTCCGATCTCTGCAAATGCACTGGCTGCAAAAACAGCTCTACTAACATTACGGACAGTTTAGAGAGTGATTCTAACACCTATAATTCGCCCGACGAATGCAGTTCCAGTGAAAATAGCGATGATGAAAATTAGACCTTTTTTATGTAGCGTGTAGGTGTCGCAAATTATTACGCTGGCTATGAGCTGAAACTATACATATTTTTGTAAGGTGTTCATGTTGATAGCTATAGGTTGTAACAAATAATAATTCCATACATCATGATATTTTGTAAAGAAATGGCCAACCTCCTGGTCCAATATTAGCCATGGGGGTTGTTAATTGTAAGTACGTATGTTCCTGGTTGCTCTGATAACCAGTCAAACATTGACATTGTTTCATTTAACGCAGAAGTTACTTTTGAGCTAATCTACAGGATTATAAAATATGGAAATGTTTTGTATTATGGTATAATAAAGCATAATTATAAGAGAAAATAAATGATAAAATTCAGTCAAATATGTGGCCTATAAACTCGTAACGAAAAACACTAGCTAATATTAGCCAAAAAGGTTAAAAAAGAAAACCACTAAAAAACATCGATCTAAATCGTAACGCGGTCACGAAATGGAAAGGCTGGGGACGATATAAGAGGACTTAGGCCCATGTTATACGAAATTCAAAATGGCGGGCGATGGCATGTTGTTTGTCGAATAAATGAAAATATAAATGGCAATTAAAAAAATACTGCGGGTCTACGGAGCGGGAACTCTTCAGAATCGTGTTCAGCATATTCGAAAATAGTAAGCAATGTAAAAATATTTCAGTTCTAACACATGCTAAATGAAAATCGTTTTCTAGGCACTTTTTGGTGCCTCACCAAACGACCTAAATTGACGTCACTGAATTAAGACTTACATTCGGCGGTATATAATATGAAAATTGAGGAAATTTTCATATTCACACTCCCTGGATTAGCCTTGCTTTCCGTCGTATCCTGCGTGCAATATATATATATATATATATATATATATATATATATATTTATATATGCGAAGTAGTTTAAAATGTCGATTTCTTTCCCCGAATCCGCAATCCTTTAGGAAAGGAACGTGCGGCTCTGGGATAATCGGTAACTGGACCCCAGGAATTCTGGCTATATATATATATATATATATATATATATATATATATATATATATGCGAAGTAGTTTAAAATGTCGATTTCTTTCCCCGAATCCGCAATCCTTTAGGAAAGGAACGTGCGGCTCTGGGATAATCGGTAACTGGACCCCAGGAATTCTGGCATTCATTGATCTGCGCATGCAAAACCAAAACAAATTGTTGAAATTATTTACTCTTTCGTACTTAAACGCTAGGGGTATTGTACATCGAAATTGTCGAGTGGAAATTTATTTATTTATTAGACCTGACCAGGAACAGCTGCGAAAATGCAACTTTATAGGTCTCTGGCAGGAATAAAACCGGCGGTCCTACGATTCCGGGCTATAAGCAACTAAGCTACAGAGGCCAGTTGTTGAGCTCTAACCACAAGTTCACGTATATATACTGAGGTGCTGCCATGTATAATAGGTTTTGTGGGTAAATATCAAATGTTTTCTTGGCATCTTACTCGAATGAATAATATTTGATATCGAGTGAAATTTATATACATTCAATTAAAGACCATGTAAATTAAGTCCGTTCTGCGCATACGTTCTGCGCAGGTTTACATTCCAATGGTCGGGACCCGACAACACCGCGGAAAAACGTCTGCGCATGCACCAAATTATGAAAATATGGCGGGGAATTTGAATATCAATTTCTAAAACAAAAACATGCTTATTAATTGGTCAAAAATTAGTAAAACAAACGAGAAAATATAGCAAATGGGTAGACTAGACATTAATTGAAAGCGTCCTGGCATTGAAAGTATGATATGAAATATAATTCATGTAAAAAATTGTTCATTTCAACGGACACGACTTCGAAAATTTTTGCAAAATTATTCAAAACAAAAATTCAAACTCAAAAGTTAAGAAAATTAACTCTCGAAAAGTTAAGCTTCTTAACCAACTCTAATTGTAGAATAAGAGTCGTAGGTTCGAATCCCACCGTGGCCGGGCATATTTTTCAAGGTCGCCCGGTGTGGATATACACTCAGAGTAACACCACAAATATCATATTCACCTGAGTACACTACACCAACACAGAAAAAAAAAAATTCATATTACTAGAATACATTGGTATCGAAGGAACTAGATTCTGTTCCGAAATATCACTTAGTCGAACCGTCCTGACCGCGTAGCTCATTTGGAAGAGCATTGGGCTAGTATTCGAAAGGTCGTAGGTTCGAATCCCACCGTGGCCGGGCATATTTTTCAAGGTCGCCCGGTGTGGATATACACTCAGAGTAACACCACAAATATCATATTCACCTGAGTACACTACACCAACACAGAAAAAAAATATTCTAAAGTTTAATTATTGTGAACACGAAAATTTTTTATATTTGGCGACACAGTTTTTTTTAAAGAAATGTATCTCAAACGAAAATTCGGAAATTATCGTTGCTTAGTTGATCAACAAAATGTTTCAGACGATAAATTTGTCAACAATCACCTTTAGTTCATGTTCTTGTACAATACAATTTCTTGAACTTTCTGGCTGTATTTATTCCTAGTTTTTAGAATGACATGTTTATTTTTGCGCTCGAAATCTGACTGTAAAGACGCACAATGAAGTCACTCCTTTTTACCGCCATTTTGAGCCTTCGGAAACGTTCGAAACAGCTTCTCATCAACTTCGCAATACTATTACAAGTAAGGTAGACGCATGCGCAGACATTTTTCCGCGGTGTTGGACCCGACCGTTGGAATGTTATTAATATTTCGTATCTTTTGAACTTTCTTGAATTGAACCTCTAGTCTGTATTCATTCACAATCATAGCGAACCAGAAGAGTGTTAAAAATTCAGTATAATATATATCTAATGTAATATATATCTAATATATTTTACAACTGTAGCACTGAGTTCAAAATGTAAACAAAGCGTTTGTTTACATTACGGATTTACATGGTCTTCAATGTATGTACCATTCAGTAAATATCATGTCAGTACCTGATAAACGTTAGTGCCAATTTACAATACTTATAGACCCTTTGCACTGACGTCACAAATCCTTAGAGTGTCCTCCAGATGCTCCTTAATAATAGGGACCTTTAGCAAATAGGTGACGGCAACGCGACCACAACGGCCAAAATAAACTCGTTCAAATAAGTAACTTTAAGATCAACATGTCTTGTATTATCCGTTGTATGAATTTATTGCAATTTAAGAAGGTTAAGACAGAGGTTTATAGTTGAGAAGACTTCTACTAAGCCAATTTGGCGTGGAGCGACTTCTCGCGGCTTGAAAGGCAGACGTTGTGTACAAAACGTGAAAATCTTTGGTTTGCTGTTGTAAACAGAGCAAGGACGACGTCTAAAACTCCCATGGGAGTTTAATTATGCATTTTCATTCTGCACTGTCATAAATTTCATTGTATTAATAGCCGTCGCCGTCCTGCTAGCTAAAGGAACCTAATATCTGTTCGGGTACAACAACCACATACAGCGCAAAATCATTTCGACGAGCTTCCCAAGAACATCCTAGCTTGTGATGTAACTTTACTGATCCCGTCGACAAGTCGACAAGTATCGAACTTTATTGATGATAATTTGCATTGGGCAATCAAAATAGAGCCACCGTGGCGCACATGACCACAACTTGCTCTGTGATTGGTTTGCAACGCTGCACCGTGGCAGAAAGTTACTATATTTAGTAACAATTGCGCAATTTTTTGCCTGCTGACCGTGGCATTTTGTGGCTGTGATCGCAGCTTCAAATTTACGACTGTTTTCCAAACATATTCGGCGCAATTTGGCACGCTTTCGGCGGTTTTTATAGTTCAGTATTTGACTGAATAAATATACTATTGAACAAGAAATATATTTCGGAAGTTTTTCCTGATTTTAGCACGAATCCATATTAATATGAGAACAATTACGAAAGATATTATTCAAATTGTTTGCTATAGACCTATATTTGCTCAATTTTGCTGTATTTCAAATAATTAATATACTATATGCATGAAATTAAATATTTAATCCAGTATCCAACAAAGGTAAACCCCGGAAAATCTTAGGTGGGAAAAATCTGACCGCGGCTCGAGCCACTTTTGCCACGGTTTGGATCCGCGCCCGAGGTTGCTCACCGGCAGAAATTAAGCCGACGTACAAGATAATTCACCGACAAAATTTTTATTTCAAGTTTATTTTCTAAAGTAATGCTCACGGGTAATGATGACTCATTACATGTCCCTTGTGGAAATCAACCTAGGTTGACAATGGTTAGCGTGTTTAAATAAAAGTTTCTATCGTATCTATCTATTGGATGACTGATACAAATTAATCAGACTATTGGTGGAATTAACGACTTGTGCAGGTATTGATTCACGGTTTTACTGTCTCAAAGCAATTCTCAAAGCGTTGGTAAGTTTTAGTTTATTTTCTCAACTATCACTCGCTACGACTTCAGCTTGATAAGGGTTTGGGTCAGGGCATGGATTAACGCACGTCAGCATTCATAAACATCTAGATATACGTACAACTCGTTTTCGGTGAGCAACCAACGATGACAACAAACTCAGTATTCGCAAGATAAAAGGCAGACGGACAAAACTTGTCAAGAACATTCATATAATTTATTTAATTCATCGTGGTTGGTAACGTTTTGGGTGGGCGCGGTCATCACACTGATCTCAAAATATGGCTGTTTTCGAGGAGTGAAAAAGGCAAAAATATCAAAAATACATGTAAGAAAGCCTGGGAAATCGTTTCACATAATAAATTTATCCCCGAGCCGACGGTGCGAAGCGCCGTGCGAGGGTACTAATTTCCCCCGGCTATTTACACCCGGGGAAACGAAAGCATTAGCCAAGTCTAAAAAAGTTCATCAATTATCGCGGGCGTGGGTCACCAACGATAGGTGGTCATCCTCCCTGATATAAAAAATATGGCGGACTATCATGAATAGCGGACACTGATTGGTCCAATTTAAAGTTTGCATTATAACGACTGCATGACGACAGCGAAATAGCAAACATTTCTTGATTTGTGATTGATAAATTTCTTGTATATATATTTCATTTTTGCTCGCATTTTTGCAAGATTTTGTAAATTTCAAAAGCTTTCTCAGAAAGAAAGCGCGAAAGAATCGGCCAAAAGAAGGGAGCCGACGTTAACGAAGGTAAGCGGTTTGCTTTAAATATTGAATCAGATTTTATAATGGCTTGAAAACCTGACGGCCTTTGCGTATATGAAACAACTAATACAAGATAGCATATAATTTAATTTCAGTGTATCTTCAATATTGATTCCCTTTTTTATTATATTGAATTTTTTAAATAAAAAAGAAAGCAAAGTTATATTGCAAACTGAAAGTTTATCGATAAAGACATTTAATTAAAAGCAGCGTTTGTGGTTGATATTACCTTAAATTGAAGCTTATATTACGTATGATAACATACCTAACGTTAGTAACACTATATGTGTTGGGTAATTGATAATTGTGTAATTAAAAGTGATATCTTTAGGTGATTTTTCATTTGTACAAATATTCTTAAAAAATTATCGTATTATCATGACAACTATTTTAGATACTTCATGTTCGGAAAATACAATGTTTATGTCAGCAAAGCAAGGGTGCATGCATGTATTTTCTAGTTTTTACTTAATTTCATTTTTTAAACGTAAACATTTATGAGAATTGATTTAGTATGAGAAATCCTAAAGTATAGCGTAAGTTTGTTTCTATTGTTTATGTGTGACTTTGTTCTTGTTGTTCAAGTCCTATGCATTGTATGCCAAAGTTTCTTAGTTAAATAAATATTTAAGTTCTTTGCATGTTTGCATAGTGATAAAACATATAATAGTTTATTACTGCAAAGCTTTCGATCCGTAAGCCCGGATCTTCATCAGTGCTAATAATATGTCATATTATTAGCACTGATGAAGAGTGAAGATCCGGGCTTACGGATCGAAAGCTTTGCAGTTATAAATTTACGTGGTATTTCCACAAATAAAACTATTATAAACAAGACACCCGCTAGGCGTTAACCTCGGGTCGGTGCATAGGGCATCGTCTGGTAAATATGCAAAAACCGTGTAAATCGCGATAGTTTAATAGCTCGATCGCTAGTATAAATGGTGAATCAGTCAATCAAAGCTCCGTTTTAACATTTTATTGATAATAGTTAAATACAGGAACAATTTAGAGAATTTAACTGTATTTATTCATTATTTGGAATATTTTGTGGACGAGTGAATGATATTGACCCATTGCACTGACGTCACAAATCCTTAGAATGTTCTCCTGATGCTCCCTAACAATATCTGTTCGGGTACAACAACCACATATACAGCGCAAAAACTAACCATTTTGATACAAAATTATTATAAAGTTTTACAAAACTTGCTTTGTTTACAAAAGTTATATTATGCATAGATTGCTAATTTGTCCTCCAGGTGCATCATCACCGGTGCTGTGACGTCATGTGCAATGGGTCTATACATAGCTACTGTACTTCACTACTTCATCTTGTATTTAGTAACACTAACAGACAATATTATCAGTCTATTTGTTGATTGCACATAGTAGAACAACAGTCACTTCAGATATTGTTAAACTATATCAAACTACCGAAAATATAATTAGGTGCATATAACTGATCCATCATTAGTAGTAGTTGTACCACAGTCGAAGAATGTAATTGCCTACCAGTTACAGTAAGAACAATCCGTAAAATGCTTAGCAGTGTCGAATTATGTATACAAGTTTCCAGTTGTCACTGGCAAGTAGAGGATAACAATTATTGGTTGAGGATGCAAACTTGATTACTTGTAATTAACATTCCAAATTGTTCTGTGCATGGGTAGTGCTGATGCAGCACAAACAAGTGTAATTCGAGCTGGATGGAGGATAAGCACATTCTTCGAGTTATTTAGATTGTTCCTCAGAAGCAATTAAGAGTTTTGTTGTTGCAAAATGAAAAAATAAAATAAGAGCCGAATGTATCACCTCGGTTTCGTACCGATTCGAGGTAATTAATTTTTGTAGAAGTTCATGGTAAAAAGGAAAGCAAATTATGTTCATAAGCGTCCTGCATGAATTAAATGTATTTTGTTTCAAAGTGCGAGTGATAAGTTGAAGCTCGAGTTGAAGAGTTTATTAGCTTAATATCTGCAAAAAGCAGTTAATTCTAATTCACGATTAAAAGCGTTTTACATAGAGTTTCGTTTTGAATTTTACAGTAAAATAAAGCCCATATAAAGCAATATGATATTAATACCTTTACTTTATATATTTTATAAATTGATAGTTCTGTATTTAATTAAAAGTGTTCAAGTTTCATCTATTTTTTCAGGCTTATACAAAAAGTTTAAAAAACAATTACAGTGTTGCCATGACTAAAATGACGTGCAACGTGAGCCGGAGTTCAGTGTTGACACAATTACGAATACTTCATGTAGAAACAACGTTTGGAAAATATAGGCGACAGTGGCGTAACTACGATGGGCTCGGATCGGGCGAACACGGGGACCCGCAACCCCAATGGGTCACTGAATGTGGGGCCCCAGACTCAGGATTTAGAGCAAAAACATTGGCCAGGGAGGCCTCTGATATGTCACAATGTTGTTTTCTGACAACCAGATTTCTGTAAAATCTCTTCCCAAAGTCCGGGTAAATGGTATTTCAGAGAGTCTAGATTGAAAAATTTTCCGGGTGAGCATGCCCTGGACCCCCTAGAACATTCGTGCATATATGACACTCAACTCGTGCCTTTGGCACTTCTTCTAGGAGGCCCTTCGAAAATTTTGAACCGGGGCCCCCTGATATAACGTTACGCCACTGATAGGCGAGGGGTCTTCCATGCATGTATTTCTAGTATAATTAATGTCAATATGTCATAACTACTGGATGACTATGAAGCAATTTATACCATACGATGGTATAAATTGCTTTAGTTGTTGGTTTCAGATCACGAAGTTATGGGGCTAATTTGAGAACTTGTGAAATCGATTAGGCTTTCCAGGCCAATTTTCGGTAGGTGGAATTTTCTGCGCGGAGCGGAATTTCTTTTTGTCTCTAATTAGTTCAACACGAGAAATCACAAGACAAAGAAAAGTTTCGCTCCGTGCGCGCGGAAAATCAGTTTAGTGGAAAATGGCCTTATTAAGCAATACCTTGGCGATACTTACCAAATGCTTGCCCGAAATTGACCAAACCTGTCAAAGCCAGCCGAGTAAAGGCCTAGGTCTACATTGTTGTATTGTTTATTACTTCCATCTGGTACACATATTAGTGATGGTTTTGCTGTCTGATGTTTCCAGGTTAAGTGTGCGCTGGGTCAAAATACTTCTGACTGCAGCATGTATATTTCTTGTATACAAGATTGTGAAATACTTCACTGGCGAGGAGATGGAAATACCACCAAACACTACTAACCGACGACAACTTCATCATAATGAACAAGTGCTAGATATTCTTTCAATGGAAAAATCTGGCTCCGGGAATATATGCTTGGGAATATCTATAACATCAAAACAGAGTCTGGTACACGAACATATTCGTGACGCTCTGGTGCTGTTAGCCAAACGAAGAGCCGATGCTTCGAGCAGTCATAGCAACAATGGCGGACGGGAATAAATATTTCGAGATCAAGGAAATCAATGAAGTGATTGCAATGTTCGATGTCACTATTTCCCATGTGAGCGCTTCAGACTGGAAAGATGTCTGGTTCGAATATACAGCAAAACAACGAGCAAATGGTCTGTTATGGCGAGTTGTGATATTACAAGAGGAATTCATGCCAGACACTGAAGATTGTGTTAATACATTAATGTTTAACTTCAGTCATGTCTGTATTGATGGCATGTCTTCTGTGAAGTTTTGCAAGCAATTTCTTAATAATATGAATGAACTTGCAAACGGTACTGGCTGTGTAGATCACGAAATCTCCAGTCTAGATCTGTTGCCACCTTTCCACGAGATTGTCACACGGGGACGAATTTGGCATTCATTATTTAATTTTATGCTGGCTTATTGCGGCGTACGACCGATTTTGAAATTTTGCGTGCAAAGACTGTTAGGTCCCTTCATAGAAAAGAAGCCGAATAATCCGTATCACGAGCAGTTCCCACCAAATTCACTTGTCCCTAACTCACTCATACCGATTCGACTGAATGTAAAGATATTCACTGGGACGAAACCAAGAATATTATTCAAGCCTGTAAAGCAAATAATTGCACAGTAACTGGAGCTATCACAGCAGCGGCACATTTAGCCTTTTGTGAACTTATACAAGACAATCAATCGAAATATATGAAGTTAGAGTCCTTCCTTGCTATCAATGGTCAACGCTTCTGTAATCCAAAACCGCACGACGATTACCTGGGTTATTTTGTGTATGTCAATCAGGACTTTACACGAAGTATGTAGCAGGCGGTGGTGTTGATTTTTGGAAGTTAGCTCAAGAAACTACTCAGCAAATAAAAGAGTTCGTGGGGAAAGAAGCGTATGTCGTTGAAGCCACGCTAATTAGTGCAATAATAGAGCCAAGAGATCTTGTAAAATTATTCATTAATGATAAGTTATTTCCGAAATCCGGATGCAATTTCATATCAAGTTTCGGATCTTTTCATTTAGGCGAACAGCAACATGACACTTATAAACTACATGAATGTATTATAAACACTCTTGTTCATAATATGAACTGTACTTTCTTTCATTTTAACTATACTATTAATGGTAAAATGACCTGGCAAATAGCCAGTAATGTTACGGTAGATAGTAACCACGCTGAGAAATTTTCTAACCTTTGCTTCAATAGATTTAGTGAAATGGGACTTGGTGTAGTGTAAGAGGCAAGGGAAATTGTTCTCCATTGCGAGTCAGCAATTGGAAAAAATGAAAAAAACACATTTTAATGATTAAAAAAATAATTCGCTGATTGGGTTTCTGAGTATATGTGAACCGTTCTTTAGGAAGACGTTTCTATATGCTTTATTTTGAAAAAAATGGAAAACATTTCCAAAGTTTTGGGGAAATGAGAAACCTGTCAGTGGGAATAGCTGCCCGATCGAAGCGCGAGTGTGGAAAGCATTTCCGTGTAATAAGCACAAAAAGAAAGTTCCGCCCTAAATATATAATCATTATCAAACCTAGCATTAATTAGACGTATATGGTAGTTTGCTTATAATACTGTGTGAAGAATGGGGTCATGTACTGTTTAATAAACGAGCAGGAGTGATTTAATTCTCGCTGGGGCACTGTGCCCAGGCGCCGTATAGGTTTCGGCATGCATTTGTCACGGATCTCGGTGATAGTGGATCTCCAATCGTCGATAGCCACAAAACAGAATATTAATGAGCTGCCTAATTTCACCCCCAATTATCCATAAGGCTCCTGCCAATTTTACCCAAATTATCCATAAATAACCCTGCATTTTGAGGAAAATTCGTGAAAATTGAACAATTTTACAAGGAATTTCGACATGGAAACAGCAACCTTCGACCTATGCCACAGAATAAGAAATAGAACCAGAAGGGACACTCCTTTGATGTTAGGCGGTCCCGCCGACATAGGCCTGCATACACCCGCGCGAGAGCGGCGGCCATGTTCTTAGGTTGATAGTGTGAGAATTTTACTATAAACAATATGGCGAAAACCGCACTATGATTATTAAAACTGCTCCTTTTGGAATATAAGTGGACTATTTTCATCTGTTTTATGAATATATTGAAGAAAAAGTAAGCGAATTTTTATTTGTCAAGTCTGGTAGCGTATTTATTTTTTTTGGCACAATTTAGTTGCGAGTTTTGCTCGGGGGTATGAAGGCTCTCATGACAGCTCATATCATATGGCTCATATAAATGTGTTTTTTTTAAATAATTTGTCCAAGTTATTTTACATATAATTGCAATTTAATATATATTTACGCGAACAAAGTAACAACTTATTTTAAAATAGAGCATACCAGAACAGATACACCGAAATGATTGAATATATTTTGATAAATTTTCAATCGAATATTGGTTCTACAACTCGCAAGTATGTACTGTAGCTGCAGAGTTTCCGGCTCCTCTCTAATAAAACCCAAGCCCATGCTTTAATTTTCCTTCTAATAAGATAATTTTATAAAGAGTGGTTCTCCATCCACTTTTTTATACCTGGCCTCTTACAAGTTTTCTTAGGTCATATTAATTTAGACTCCCTCTCACAAACACACCCAAAAAGAAATATATATATTCTGCAAATTATGATGTCTTGCTGCAATAGAAAAAAGTTTGTAGTCTATAATGTCTACTTTAAATTTATGAAACCAAAAGCATCCTATTTAAAAAAAGTAATTTCTTACCTTTCAGCATTCAAAGGAAATCGAAAAAAGCTTAGGGATTTGTCTCGTAATTTATTGTTGGAGCAGTTGACTGCAGATCAATGCAGGCCTGCAATTTTGTCCTTCTTAAAGTCATAATATGAAAATTTCTTGTATGAAAAGACACTTATTGATGAACTGGTTACAAGAAAGGACCACCTTCAATTGCTTCAAATGAAGATGAATATATTTCTATATCTCTCACATAATATATACTTTACTCCTATTTACACAATTCTTACAATTGGTATTTTAGGCATAACTAGAACCATTGCCTCTCAGAACATAACCATTGCCTCTGCCTGTCACCTTGTCTTCCGTAAAACGTTCCTCCAGGAGAACACCATCGCCGTTATTCCTCCTTGTGGATACAAGCCTGAAAACAACCAGTCTGTCATCGCCTTGAAAACAACCAGTCTGTCATCGTCTGGGTCGCTCAACGTGATAATATTGCCATTCGCCACGCCCGCAACCACGGAGAGCAACGCATTGGCAAGTAACTTGTCGATGGCTTCAACGTTTAGACGAACACTGTTTGGGAAGTTCAAGGGTGCCTGTGGCATGGGTGCAAAAGGTGTTACGCCAGAGATACCGCGAATCCGATCAACCATATGAGCATGCAAGATCTTAGGCAGCGAACCCTAGAGAAAATACAATTCCTAAAGGACAACAGATGCAACGTGGTAGAGATTTGGACGTGTCACATTGAGCGTCAACTTGCCACCGAACCCGAGATGAAGGATTTCTTCGACAATTTCGAAATATCTGAGCCTCTAGAACCTCGCCATGCGTTCTTTGGTGGAAGGACTAACGCCGCACGCCTTTACTACGACATCTAGCCAGAAGAGAAGATCCGCTAAGTGGATTTCCGCTGCCTCTACCCATGGTATTTATCTTGTTAAAAACTTTTAACTCAAACGTGGTTGTCGTTAACCTTCTTAAGCAATTTTTAGGTGTAAAAAATACGGCGAGTATCTTATTGGCCATCGTGAGATTATCACTGAGAACTTACAACCTATCAGTGAGTACTTTGGTTTGGTGAAATGTTCTGTGCTTCCTCCTCGTGCCCTATACCACCCCGCCCTCCCTTACCGTACTCAGGGTAAATTGATGTTCCCGTTGTGTCGTACCTGTCGTGACAACATTCAATAAGAACCCTGCCGTCACAGCGACGCTGAGCGAACACTTCATGGGACGTGGGTGACATTGGAGCTCGAGAAAGCACTAGAGAAAGGCTACAAATTGGTGAGAATCGACGAAGTTTGGCACTGGTCGTCGCCGCGTTCACCACAGCCCACGCTTGCCTCAAGCTCTGCGGTATCCTGGAGCGCGCAGTTAAATCTACCAGTCTTGTATTTTGACACAGACTCTATGATCTATGTTGCAAAAGAAGGCGAATGGGAGCCATCGACGGAATCTTACTTTGGTGAACTAACAGATGAGTTCGATGTAGGTCCCATTACCACCTTTGTGTCGGGAGGCCCTAAAAACTACGCCTATGAGACGAACAATGACAAAACAGTATGCTAAGTTAGAGGGATCACCCTCAACTACTGGACACAGCAACATGTCAAGTGTGACGTCATGTCTGACATGGTCAGGGGTGAAGGTCCCGAGAAAGTAACTGTAAACATACCCTACAAAATAAATAGAGACACTAGGGACAAAAGTCGGTAAAGACGAGGAGTGAAAACAAGGACTATCATATTGTATATAATAAACGTGTGATTGTCAATAATTTTGAGACTCTACCTTACACGGTGGGCAAAAAAGAAAGAAATTTTGGCCACGTACATATAACTTTCTGTCGTTAGTTGGAATATCACGAAACTCCCTCACAGGATAGAACTTAATATTCCTATAAATCGTATGATTTTTGTTTTTCGATTTTGTTACATTTTGGCGGGAAAATGACGTGCCAACTTTGGCGCAAAAAAATTAAACACATGCTAGTAACTTTTTTCAAGAGATTGTCCTACAAGGATCTCAAAACTGTAAAAACATTAAAAATACAACAAGGCAGTGCTAAGATATGGCGATTCAAAGTTCGAAAACAATCTATTTTTAGTAACAAAATGGCTGATTTTTCAGAATCATAATATGAGAGGAAATGCACATTGTGATTGTGTAATGTTGCTATTCCAACACTTCACGACAAGCAATCCCCGTTGACATAACGGAAAAAACATCTTTTCCTTCAAGTAAACAATAAAAAGTCTTGTTTGTGGAAACAGCACGTAAATTTATTACTGCAAAGCTTTCGATCCGTAAGTCCGAATCTTTATCAGTGCTAATAATATGTATAAAGTGTCTTTATACATATTATTCATCCGTCATCGATCCGTAAGTCCGAATCTTTATCAGTGCTGATAAAGATCCGGGCTTACGGATCGAGAGCTTTGCAGTAATACATTTACGTGGTGTTTCCACAAACAAAACCATTATATGTTTGATCGCCATGCAAACGTACAAAGAATAAGATAAACAGTCTGTTCTTCTTCCATTTTTAATCGAAAAAAGTGATCAGGTCTATTCTAATTATAGAATCCAACAGCCAACAGCCAATCAGAATGCCGGGTTCGTGGGCGAACTCGGCAAGTGCAAAATACAGGGTCTTCCTTGCAGGGCCACTATTCTCCCTCGGTGGGCCTGCACGTGGGCTATATTATAAACTATTGTTATTTTCGTAATTGATACCGATCTATCGGGTGATGGCGTACACTTACACTAACGAGAAAATACCAAATGTATTAATTGAGAATTAAGCATTCAATTCTTTATATGGAATCGGTAATCCCATCGTCTTGAAGAATGAACAAAGACTGATATCAATCCAACATTTGTTGCTTCATAGTTGATAGAGATGTGATAGAAATGCAAATGGTAACACCGTGATAAAAGATGCAGATTTGAAGATACAAGCTCGCAAATAACTCTCTGAATAGTGTTTTTGATAGCGATTGGAACTAGGCTATTACGAAAAAGATACGTCCGAAGGGGCCGAAGTTATGTTCGGCGAAAGGTATGGCTAGTCCATATTTTCTTCAGACAATTGCGTAATTTGATAACATATGAACTCGCTTGAATTTCAAAGCTCATAAATCGCTGTAATGTTGACATCGACTAAAACTATCGCTATGAATGAGGACATATTGTTACACTGAATCGAACGTGGTATTTTTGTCTTCATAGCATTCAATGAACCGAAGATATGAAACGTCAAAACCGTATATTTACACCGGTGCAATACGTGAAAGTGTTTGACAAATACATTAAGATGGGCGGAACCATGCGTTCGCTGGGCGGAACTCAGAATGTGTAGTTTTTGGGCAGCCGGTACTTCAAGCTTCCTGTTCTCTCGTGCCTGCGAATACCGCCTGCTACGATGGCTACTCTAAACATTTTGTTTGTTCATCCTTAAAATGTGAAATCGGGGCCTTTAAGCTCTTTTGAACGCAAAACTCAATACATACAAATACATCCGCCGTGATTGTTCACAATCAAGCTTGTCAGCTATCAATCAATGATTAATTTAGCATAAATGAGCATATTTCTCATTTTGAACCAATCTGATTTTTCGCTCTTTCGGAGACCGAGTAAAAATCGCAAAGAACGGGGTTTTGTGTAGGCTCTCCTCTCACCTGAGAGCGGGATTTTCTGTGGAAAGGCGAGATTTATATAGGTTAAATTAAAGCTAAACAGAAAATTCAGAAGGCCACCCAACTATTTGTGACCTTGCAAGCTTATCCCGCCCACGCGATGGACTTGCATAACGAAACTAATATGCATGTAGTTATTATTACGAAATATTGGATTTGAACTACTTTAATAGCGCGTTGTTGTATTGGTAATTACTTCCATCTTGTACACATATTAGTTATGGCTTTGTTGTTTGATGTATCCATGATAAGTGTGCGCTGGGACAAAGTACTTCTGACTGCAGCATGTATATTTCTTGTATACAAGATTGTGAAATATTTCACTGGCGAGGTGAGGGAACTACCACCAAATACTACTAACCGACGACAACTAGGTCATACTGAAGAAGTGCTAGATATTTTTCCAATGGAAAAATCTGGCTTAGGGAATATATGCTTGGGAATACAATAACATCAAAAGAGAGTCTGTTACACGAACATGTTCGCGACGCTCTGGTGCTGTTGGCCAAACGACAGCCGATGCTTCGAGCAGTCATAGCAACAATGGCGGACGGGGATAAATATTTCGAGATCAAGGAAATGAATGAAGTGATTGCAATGTTTGACATCACTATTTCCCATGTGAAGGCTTCAGACTGGAAAGATGTCTGGTTCGAATATACAGCAAAACAACGAGCAAATGGTCTGTTATGGCGAGTTGTGATATTACAAGAGCAGTTCAAGCCAGACACTCGAGATTATGTTAATACATTAATGTTTAACTTCAATCATGCATGTACTGACGGTGTTTCTTCTGTGAAGTTTTGCAAGCAATTTCTTAATAATATGAATGAACTTGCAAACGGTACTGGCTGTGTAGATCAGGAAATCTCCAGTCTAGACCTGCTGCCACCTTTCCACCAGATTGTCATACGGGGACGAAATTGGCATTTATTATATAATTTTATGCTGGCTTATTGCGGCCTACGACCGATTTTGAAATTTTGCACGGAAAGACTGTTAGATCGCTTCATAGAAAAGAAGCCGAATAATCCGTATCACGAGCAGTTTCCTCCAAAACCACATGTCCCTAACTCGCCCATACCGAGTCGACTGAACGTGAAGTTCTTCACTGAGGGTGAAACGAAGAATATTATTCAAGCTTGTAAAGCAAATAATTGCACAGTAACTGGAGCTATTACAACTGCAGCACATTTAGCCTTTTGTGAACTTATACAAGACGACAAATCGAAAAATATGAAGTTAGAGTCTATCTTTGCTATCAATGGTCAACGCTTCTGTGATCCAAAACCGCACGAAGATTACCAGGGGGCTTTTGTGTATTTCAATCAGGAGCTTTACATGAAGTATGCACCAGGGGCTGGTGTTGACTTTTGGAAGTTTGCTCAAAATACTACGCTGCGAATAAAAGAATTTGTGAGGAAAGAAGAATGTGTTGTTGAAGCCACGGTAATTAGTGAAATAATGGAGCCAAGAGAACATGTGAAATTATTCATTAATGATAAGTTATTTCCGAAATCCGGATGCAATTTCATATCAAGTTTCGGATCTTTTCACTTAGGCGAACAGCAACATGACACTTATAAACTACATGAGTGTATTATCAACAATCTTATTCACAATATGAACTGCACTTTTTTTCATTTTAACTACACCATTAATGGTAAAATGACGTGGCAAATAGTCAGTAATATTACGGTAGATAGTAACCACGTTGAGAAATTTGCTAACCTTTGCTTCAATAGATTTAGTGAAATGGCACTTGGTGTAGTGTAAGGGGCAAGGGAAATTGTTCTCCATTCCGAATCAGTATTTAGAAAAATGTCAAAACATTTACATGTTTAAATTGTCTGAATGGGTTTCTGAGTAATTGTGACGACGATTCTATGGTTATTTAAAAAAATGGAAAACATTTCCCTGATTAGGGGGAAATGAGAAACTTGTCAGTGGGAATAGCTGCCCGAAGTGCGAGTGCAGAAACATTTTCCGTGTCCATGAAGGCATTATTCGTATGTCCCTCCTCTATTCGCCCCATGTAAGGTAATCCAGGGATCCAGAATCCGACTTTTAATTAATAGCTTTGCAATCCGGAATCCAGACAGTGGAATCCAGACATGAGAGGAAATGCACATTATGATTGTGTAATGTTGCTATTCCAACACTTCACGACAAGCAATCCCCGTTGACATAACGGCAAAAACAGCTCTTCCTTCAAGTAAACAATAAACAGTCTTGTTTGTGGAAACACCACGTAAATTTATTACTGCAAAGCTTTCGATCCGTAAGTCCGGATCTTCATCAGTGCTAATAATATGTATTAGCACTGATTAAGATCCGGGCTTACCGATCGAAAGCTTTGCAATAATACATTTACGTGGTGTTTCTACAAACAAAATATGTGTTATCGCCATGCAAGTTCGTACAAAGAACTTAATAAACAGTCTGTTCTTGTTCCATTTTTAATCGAAAAAAAGTGTTCAGGTCCAATTTTAAAAGCTTATCGAGAGCCTTTGTGATGAATCACTGATTTAATTATAGAATTCAACACCCAACAGCCAATCAGAATGCCGCGTTCGTGGGCGAACGCGGAAAGTGCAAAATACCGGGTCTTCCTTGCAGGCCCACTATTTTCCCTCGGTGGGCCTGCACGCTGGCTATATTATAAACTATTATTATTTTCGTAATTGATACCAATCTATCGATTGATGGCATACACTAACGAAAAAGTAACGAATGTTTTAATTGAGAATTAAGCGTTGAAATCTTTATCTGGAATCGGTAATCCCATCGTCTTGAAGAATGAACAAAGAATATCAATCCAACATTTGTTGCATGGTAGAGATGTAATAGAAATGCAAATGGAAATACGGTAATAAAAGATTCAGATTTGTAGATATAGGCTCGCAAACAACTCTTTAAGTAGTATTTTTGATAGCGATTGGAACAAGGCAATTACAAAGAAGATACCTCCGAAGGGGCCGAATTTATGTTAGAAGAAAGGTATGGCTAGTCCATATTTTTGTTCAGACAATGGACAATTTGTATGTTAGACTAAATTTATTCTAAGTGAAGAAAAGGGAATCAAACACCATAGCAAAATAGAACATAATGAAATCGGTAAAATTGCAAAATTTGGTTGCGAAATGTTGTAAAATACAGAAAATATAGCCTAAAAAGGCTGGCCCGCGTGCAGGACCAAGGGAACTGATAGTGGGCCTGCAAGCAAGGCCCGGTATTTTGTAAAACGCCCCTTTTCATAACACGCCCCATTCGCGCGTCAATTGTCAAAAAAGAACCAATGACAGCACCCAAATATTAACAAACAACCTCGCATTAAAATGTTGCGGGATTTTCTCTGCTTATTCAGAACATAAACAACGGTGTAAATGGCAGCGTTTTAACTTCAAAAAAGCAAGCAACGCAGTCAGTAATTGCCAAATTTGCAAGTGCTCATTTTCAACTAAAATCGGAACAGGCAAATTAGGACGAATTTCAACAGATCTAGAAAACCAGTCTCAAACAGTCAAACTTCAAATCGTGAGGGAAGTCGTGCGACCACATTAGCATTTATATTATGTGTGCTTCGCTGTCGCCATTGGCATTGTTATAAATAAATTGTCTCACTTATCAGATCGTGTGTGCAATTCTTGTTGGCGGCGGAAAGTACAAAATTTATTTCAGTTATTTCATTTGGTAAAGAACTATACAAAAGAAGAGAGCATTCAGCGCGTCAGATCGTTACGTTTCAAACGGCAATTTAATACCGTCTTCTGTTTCGCTCTCTCAGCGAAACCTTGTAAATCGCAAAGTGTTTCGAATAAGCTGACATGCAACTCACGACAGCATCCCCATCAATCAAAAGATAATTTTCTTGAGGAACATATAAGTATCAAGTCTGTTTGAAATTAATAAAACTCGAGTAAAGGTTACTATAGTTTACCCCAGTCGTAATGTTGCTATTCTAACACCTCACGACAAGCAATCCCCATTGGCATAACGGAAAAAACATCTATTCCTTCAAGTAAACAATAAACCATCTGTTCTTAAATTAATAAAACTCGAGTAAAGGTTACTATAGTTTACCCCAGTCGTAATGTTGCTATTCTAACACCTCACGACAAGCAATCCCCATTGGCATAACGGAAAAAACATCTATTCCTTCAAGTAAACAATAAACCATCTGTTCTTGTTCCTTGTATAATCGAAAAAAGTGATCAATTTTCAAATTTTGAGCTTATCGAGAGCCTTTGTGATGAATCACGGACCTAATTATAGAATCCAATACCAAACAACCAATCAGAATGCCGCGTTCGTGGGCGAATGCGGAAAGTACAAAATACCGGGCCTTGCTTGCAGGCCCACTATCAGTTCCCTTGGGCCTGCACGCGGGCTAAAAAAGGCTTGCAAAGTTTGCATATTTTCAGTATACATTAAATTAAGATGTCTGATGATCGGAATCATACGTTCGGTTGGCGGAACTCAGAATGTGTAGTTTTTGGGCAGGCGGTATTTCAGACTTCCCAAAAAATTTTTGGGGGGATCACTTTCCGTGGGAGGGTTGGTAACCGCGACTTTTACTCAGGGTACATATTTGGATTTATTGGGACACTTGATGAAAACTTGAGGTTATTCAGATACTCTATAAAGTCTATTATACCATTAATTAATTATCATTAACCTTTAGCGGGAAATATTTAAATTTTCGTTTACGTAATAATAGCCTGAAGTAAACTGAATGCTGAAGTACGAATGTAAAATATATATATTAGAAGTTACTCCAACTGAATTTCTGCATCACCCTCAGCTTACACAGCTTATAATGCAAAATCTATAATCGTGTTTTGTTTACATTTTGCATTGCGCGCAGGCAAATTTTGATCTTTGAATTTTGATAATCATGATAATCAATGATAAAGACATCAGTGCGCCTATATAGCCTATAAGCATTAGAGTGTGTGGTTTGCATATTTGTCGGCTAGTATAAACATCACGTTTTCAACTGAGACTATCTGTAACTCACACAATTTGATTGTGAACGTTTCTATCAGTTAAATCGCAGTTTATAGACTTGCAGTCTTCTGCCTGTGTTTCAGAGATTAAGGTTGTATCTTAGTATAGACTATAAACTGTGGTTAAATAAACTGCGAATTAATAATATATTTCGAATACCATTACGCACGAACTTATGACCTTTATACTAGCATTATTCAAAACAAAATTCAATATCTCAATATTTATGGTATATTTTGATCTATTTTATAAAAAAATTGTAATGTGTTCTCTTTTTAGTGAATTTTATTTATGGGTACAAAGCTTTCGGAAAGACGCGATGAATAATGCGTCAAAACGCAGCGGTTATGTAAATAAATATAGAATATATAAGTTTGCGTCAAAGTATTCGACCGCAATCTATTTCCTGCTGTACAGGCTTCCTATATTGCATCATAACAGGCGCGGTTACCAAGCTCCCAAAGAAAGTGATCCCAAAAAAAATTTCTACGCCCGCGAATACCGAATACCGCCTGTTACGCAGGCTACTCTAAACACTTTGTTTGTCCATCCTTAAATGTGAAATCGGGACTTTAAGTGGCAGTCCCGCTAAGAGCGGTCCGATGACTTTGACTTTGGAAAATAGATTTCCTTTATTTTTTGTGTGTTGAAAGGCATTGGTATACAAGTGTCCAAAATAAATTTATTTTTTGAAAATTCTTTTTTATGGCTTCGCTAGACGCCGAAACTCATTTTACCCGTGCAGAGCTAATTTCAAGCAAAATCGAAGAATGAATTTCGGTAAATTGTAGAGCCGCGCTGTGTCAAAACGCCTGACTATTTCCAAATTTCAACTAGATCAACAAGTTAAGATACAATTCAGGTTCTCTGTTCCAAAAAATAAGAGCATTTGAATAAATTGTGAATAAACGACAGCGACTTGACGGCACACCGGTTTTTGCTTCTTGTTCGGTCTACAAAATTACACTAAAATCGAAGCCTGAGATCTCCAAATGGGGACCTAAAATTACGCTGAAATGTGCTTGGCTGTAATGATTTATACTTATTTTCAGAAGATCTGAAGAAAAATCTGCGGGTATCAATCTGTATTTGGCGCGAGTTAAGATTTTCTGGAGCCCATAATCAATGATTTTTGCATAATTTATAGCTAATTAACATAAATATGTTAGGGAAGGAAATCTATTTTCCGAAGTCAAAGTCATCGGACCGCTCTTAGCGGGACTGCCACTTAAGCTCTTTTCAATGCAAAACTCAAGAAATACCTCTGAAATACATCCGCCCGTGTTTGATCACAATCAAGCTATGTCAGCTATCAATCAATGATTATTTAAGCATAAATTAGCATATTTTTCATTTTGAACCATTCAAATTCTTCGCTCTCTCCGAGAACGAGCAAAAACGGCAATACACGTGGTTTCGCGCAGACTCTCCTTTCACCTGATAGCCGCTACGCCGGTTATATCTTACCCTGAGTGTAGGGATTTTCTATGGAAAGGCGAGTTTTATAGGTTAATTAAATTAAAGCTAACAGGAAATTCACTTGGATAACTACTTATCCCGCCCACGCACTGGACTTGCATAATAAAACTAATATGCATGTGGTTATTATTACGAAATATTGCGATTGAACTATTTTAATAGCACATTGTTGTATTGGTTATTACTTCTACTGGTACACATATTAGTTATGGCTTTGTTGTCTGATGTTTCCATGATAAGTGTGAGCTGGGTCAAAATACTTCTGACTGCAGCATGTATATTTCTTGTATACAAGATTGTGAAATACTTCACTGGCGAGGTGAGGGAAATACCACCAAACATTACTAACCGACGACAACTTGGTTTTTCTGAAGAAGCGCTAGATATTCTTTCAATGGAAAAATCTGGCTCAGGGAATATATGCTTGGGAATATCTATAACATCAAAACAGAGTCTGGTACACGAATATGTTCGGGACGCTCTGGTGCTGTTGGCCAAACGACAGCCGATGCTTCGAGCAGTCATAGGAATATTGGCGGACGGGGATAAATATTTCGAGATCAAGGAAATCAATGAAGTGATTGCAATGTTCGACATCACTATTTCCCATGTGAAGGCTTCAAACTGGGAAGATGTCTGGTTCGAATATACAGCAAAACAACGAGAAAATGGTCTGTTATGGCGAGTTGTGATATTACAAGAGGAATTCATGCCAGACACTCGAGATTATGTTAATACATTAATGTTTAACTTCAATCATGCATGTACTGACGGTGTCTCTTCTGTGAAGTTTTGCAAGCAATTTCTTAATAATATGAATGAACTTGCAAACGGTACTGGCTGTGTAGATCAGGAAATCTCCAGTCTAGATCTGCTGCCACCTTTCCACCAGATTGTCATACGGGGACGAATTTGGCATTTATTATATAATTTTATGCTGGCTTATTGTGGCCTCCGACCAATTTTAAAATTTTGCATGGAAAGACTGTTAGGTCACTTCATAGAAAAGAAGCCGAATAATCCGTATCACGAGCAGTTCCCACCAACTCCACATGTCCCTAACTCACCCATACCGAGTCGACTGAACGTAAAGGTCTTCACTGAGAGCGAAACGAAGAATATTATTCAAGCGTGTAAAGCAAATAATTGCACAGTAACTGGAGCTATCACAGCTGCGGCACATTTAGCCTTTTGTGAACTTATACAAAACGACAAATCGAAAAATATGAAGTTCGAGTCCCTCTTTGCTATGAATGGTCGACGATTCTGTGATCCAAAACCGCACGACGATTACCTGGGCTATTTTGTGTATGACATGCAGGAATTTTACATGAAGTATGTAGCAGGCGGTGGTGTTGAATTTTGGAAGTTAGCTCAAGAAACTACTCAGCGAATAAAAGAATTTGTGAGGAAAGAAGCGTATGTCGTTGAAGCCACGGTAATTAGTAGAATAATGAAGCCAAGAGAACTTTTGAAATTATTCATTAATGATAAGTTATTTCCGAAATCCGGATGCAATTACATATCAAGTTTCGGATCTTTTCACTTAGGCGAACAGCAGCATGACACTTATAAACTACATGAATGTATTATAAACAGTCTTGTTCATAATATAAACTGCACTTTCTATCATTTTAACCACACTATTAATGGTAAAATGACTTGGCAAATAGCCAGTAATGTTACGGTAGATAGTAACCACGCTGAGAAATTTTCTAACCTTTGCTTCAATAGATTTAGTGATTTAGAAAAAAGTGATCAGGTCCAATTTTAAAAGCTTATCGAGAGCCTTTGTGATGAATCACTGATCTAAATATAGAATCCAACAGCAATCAGAATGCCGCGTTCGTGGGCGAACGCGGAAAGTGCAAAATACCGGGTCTTCCTTGCAGGCAGACTATTATCCTTCGGTGGACCTGCACGCGGGCTATATTATAAACTATTATTATTTTCGAAATTGATACGAATCTATCGAGTGATGGCATACACTAACGAAAAAGTAACGAATGTATTAATTGAGAATTAAGCATTGAATTCTTTATCTGGAATCGGTAATCCCATCGTCTTGAATAATGAACAAAGAATATCAATCCAACATTTGTTGCTTGATAGAGATGTAATAGAAATGAAAATGGAAATACCGTAATAAAAGATTCAGATTTGAAGATATAGGCTCGCAAACAACTCTTTAAGTAGTATTTTTGATAGCGATTGGAACAAGGGAATTACAAAGAAGATACCTCCGAAGGGGCCGATCGAAGTTATGTTAGGAGAAAGGTATGGCTAGTCCATATTTTTGTTCAGACAATGGACAATTTGTATGTTAGACTAAATTTAATCTAAGTAAAGAAAAGGGAATCAAACTCCATAGCTAAACAGAACATAATGAAATCGGTAAAATTGCAAAATTTGGTTGCGAAATGTTGTAAAATACAGAAAATATAGCCTAAAAAAGTTTGCAAAGTTTGCATATTTTCAGTATATTTGAAAGAGTTTTACAAATACATTTAAAGTAAGATGTCTGATGGACGAAATCATACGTTTGGTTGGCGGAACTCAGAATGTGTAGTTTTTGGGCAGGCGGTATTTCAGACTTCCCGATCTTTCCTGCACGCGAATACCGCCTCTTATGCAGGCTACTCTAAACACTTTGTTTGTCCATCCTTAAATGTGAAATCGGGACCTTTAAACTCTTTTCGATGCAAAACTCAAGAAACACCTTTGAAATACATATAATCCGCCGTGATTTTTCACAATCAAGCTATGACAGGTATCAATCAATGATTATTTAAGAATAAATTAGCATATTTTTCATTTTGAACCAATCAAATTCTTCGCTCTCTCCGAGAACGAGCAAAAACGGCAAAACACGTGGTTTCGTGCTGACTCTCCTTTCACCTGAGAGCCGCTACGCCGGTTATATCTTACCCTGAGCGTATGGATTTTCTGTGGAAAGGCGAGTTTTATAGGTTAATTAAATTAAAGCTAACAGGAAATTCAGTTGAATAACTACTTATCCTGCCCACGCACTGGACTTGCATAATAAAACTAATATGCATGTGGTTATTATTACGAAATATTGCAATTGAACTATTTTAATAGCACATTGTTGTATTGATTATTACTTCTACTGGTACACATATCAGCTATGGCTTTGTTGTCTGATGTTTCTATAAGTGTTCGCTGGGTCAAAATACTTCTGAGTTCTGACTGCAGCATGTATATTTCTTGTATACAACATTGTGAAATACTTCACTGGCGAGGTGAGGGAAATACCACCAAACACTACTAACCGACGACAACTTGGTTTTTCTGAAGAAGCGCTAGATATTCTTTCAATGGAAAAATTTGGCTCAGGGAATATATGCTTGGGAATATCTATAACATCAAAACAGAGTCTGGTACACGAACATGTTCGGGACGCTCTGGTGCTGTTGGCCAAACGACAGCCGATGCTTCGAGCAGTCATAGGAACATTGGCGGACGGGGATAAATATTTCGAGATCAAGGAAATCAGTGAAGTGATTGCAATGTTCGACATCACTATTTCCCATGTGAAGGCTTCAAACTGGGAAGATGTCTGGTTCGAATATACAGCAAAACAACGAGCAAATGGTCTGTTATGGCGAGTTGTGATATTACAAGAGCAATTCATGCCAGACACTCGAGATTATGTTAATACATTAATGTTTAACTTCAATCATGCATGTACTGACGGTGTCTCTTCTGTGAAGTTTTGCCAGCAATTTCTTAATAATATGAATGAACTTGCAAACGGTACTGGCTGTGTAGATCAGGAAATCTCCAGTCTAGATCTGCTGCCACCTTTCCACCAGATTGTCATACGGGGACGAATTTGGCATTTATTATATAATTTTATGCTGGCTTATTGTGGCCTCCGACCGATTTTAAAATTTTGCATGGAAAGATTGTTAGGTCACTTCATAGAAAAGAAGCCGAATAATCCGTATAACGAGCAGTTCCCACCAAATCCACATGTCCCTAACTCACCCACTAAACCGAGTCATAGTTAACTATGACCGAGTCGACTGAACGTAAAGGTCTTCACTGAGAGCGAAACGAAGAATATTATTCGAGCGTGTAAAGCAAATAATTGCACAGTAACTGGAGCTGTCACAGCTGCGGCACATTTAGCCTTTTGTGAACTTATACAAGACGACAAATCGAAAAATATGAAGTTCGAGTTCCTCTTTGCTATCAATGGTCTACGATTCTGTGATACAAAACCGCACGACGATTATCTGGGCTATTTTGTGTATGACATGCAGGAATTTTACATGAAGTATGTACCAGGCACTGGTGTTGAATTTTGGAAGTTAGCTCAAGAAACTACTCAGCGAATAAAAGAATTTGTGAGGAAAGAAGCATATGTCGTTGAAGCCATGGTAATTAGTGGAATAATGAAGCTAAGAGAACTTTTGAAATTATTCATTAATGATAAGTTATTTCCAAAATCCGGATGCAATTTCATGTCAAGTTTCGGATCTTTTCACTTAGGCGAACAGCAGCATGACACTTATAAACTACATGAATGTATTATAAACAGTCTTGTTCATAATATAAACTGCACGTTCTATCATTTTAACCACACCATTAATGGTAAAATGACTTGGCAAATAGCGAGTAATATTGCGGTAGATGGTAATCACGTTGAGAAATTTGCTAACCTTTGCTTCTATAGAATTAGTGAACTGGCACTTGGTGTAATCTAAGAGGCAAAGGACATAGTTCTCAATTGCGAATTAGCATTTAGAAAAATGTCAAAACATTTACATGATTAAATTGTCTGACTGGATTTCTGAGTAATTGTGAGAACGTTTGTATGCTTATTTAAAGAAATGGAAAACATTTACCTGATTCGAGAAAATGAGAAACTTTTCAGTGGGAATACCTGCCCGAAGCGCAAGTGCAGAAACTTTTTCCGTGTCCATAAAGGCATTATTCGTTTGTCCCTCCCCCATAATAGGTCCCGCTACCCCCCCCCCCCCCCCATGTAAGATAATCCAGGAATCCAGATTCCGACTTTTAATAGCTATGCAATCCAGAGTCCAGACAGTGGAATCCAGAATCCAAGCATGAGAGGAATCCGGAACTTTTATCCTAGGCCAATTTTCTGGATTTCTGAATCCACAACCGATCTGGAATGCGGAATTCAAGGAGCGGGGAGTGGAATCCGGAATTGAAAGGGTGCAATACCCTTCAACAAAAGAAAAATTAGAATGAGATTGGATTATATATTATAATAGATAATCGGATGGTTTTGAGTACACTGGGACCAACTACTTATTGCCGAAAGGAGAAGAGAATAGTAAATAGAGAAGAGGTTTATATGCCATAAATTAATTGTTTGAACAATTTACATGGGACGATACCCCTTTCATCTAAGATTTAAATTAGTGAGAATTAATGTTTTTTGGGATTCGTGAACTGATCAGCTGGAGAGAAACCAATGGCGTTAAACCCGTCTTCCTTGTCCATTCCCGAACACGCCTTATCAGAATTTTCGCTGCTTGGTTTTTCTTTAACTGTAAATTGAAAATTAGAAAAGTCATAAGATACGAGAATACACTGAAAATCTGGCATGCTCAGCTCTTGAGCTGAAGTCAGTCTTTCATATTAAAGGGTTCATGCGCTATATACATCAAAATAATGGGAGGTCGGAAAAATCATGCATTATAACATTCCTAAAAGATATATAATAATCTTAAAGTGAAAAGCTGAAAAGTTTCAGCCGTCGTCTTGATCGATAAAAAGTATAAAAGCGACAACACAAAATAATTGAGAATTGCAATGAGTTAGCATGGGAGCGTCGATTAATTCACACATTCAACGTAATTATGAAAAGGGTGAATTATTTATATTTATAATATAGCATTTGTAAATTCTGAACGCTGATTGGTTAAAAGCCGTATTGATATACCTAAATATCATCACGGAACATTTCTTTTTTTATATTTAAATTTCGTTGTGCATGCTCTATTATAAAACAAATATAAAACATTTGTCCGTATTCATATACAGTTACAGTATATCAACATTCGTGGAAATTAGAAAAACTCGAAATTGTGGGAAAACACTTCGCCCTCCGGGCGTGGACAGAATTTCTCGTTTTCTTAATTTCCACTCGAGTTGATATTTAACAATTATTCGCCGATGTTTCTGGCGAGGCGATTATCGGGGAATATTCGCCGAGACGAAATCGAGGTGAATATTCCCCGATAATCACCGAGCCTGAGGCGAATAATTGATTTAGTATTTTTACACAAGCTTTTGTGTTTTTTGAGATTGAATTTATTTTAATTTCGCTTATTTTTTTCTCAGTAAACTTCCACAAAATGGGTAGCCGCCATTTTGAAAATTTCTGTTTTGTTATATTCACCTGTAGGTGAAGATAACAGCTTATTACGTCAATTTTGACCAATCAACGTGTAGGATTTGTTATGTTCACTTGTGTAAAAATACTAAAACTGTATATCAACAAGGGAAATGGTTTGTATTTGTTAATTGTAAAAGCTCTACTTACATGAATACATGTAAATTGTTAGGAAGCTGTCATTTTTGTCAAACTTGAGGCATGTGAAGTCTTTGAAGTTGTATAACGCGCTACAAGATTCGAGAGAACAGTTTAGAAATTAAACAATAATTTCCATCTACACAAATCTTGCTTAGATTTCAAAATGCAAAGATTAGTTTGCATTGCAACATTGAACTCATATTCTTTGTGTAGTTCCTCTCCAAAGTGATACGCTTGGCTGCCAATTTCCAGAAGACTAGATTCAGAGTATTGTCTTGATGATGATGCAGAGCAAACTGGATTAGTTAACAAAATTGTGAAGGGGTAAGCTCAGTACAACTTCTTCATCTAACAAGGACAATGTTGTAAGTTACCCTGCCTTACATGTGCATTTTCTACATATACCCTCAATTATCGAATCTCAATACGCCCAGTAAAATAAAATAATCCTCATTTGCATATAAAAGGCTCAAATTGCTTTCATTTGCATCGCTAAATATGCCAGGAATGTCACCCCAAACAAAATATTCGCAAGTACTGCCATGAAAATTTCGCAATATAAAATAATATTTAAGAAATAGAAAACGAGTCGCGTGCGTTTATGGTGTGATAATGCACGCGGGGAATGTTGGGAGAATACGAGAAAAGCGTGTAAAACACGAGGCGTAGCCGAGTGTTTTACACGCTTCTCGAGTATTCTCCCAACATTCCCCAAGTGCATTATCACACCATAAACGCACGAGACGAGTTTTTCTATTTCTTTTATAATATAAGTAGAAAATATTACATAGTAAACAATTTTACTCAAAAGATCGACGTTGAAATTCTCCTAACATGTACTCAGTGACGTCACGCGCATGCTTTTACTGTCGCTTGAATTTTTAAGCGAGCGAAGGAGAAAAATTACCAAAACAATATACAAACTTTTGATGCTATAAAGCCGGAAAATTGTTTAAAATAGTGGAAATAAAAAGCAGTGACACACAGACTAATTTTCCAAAGTTTTTCAGCTTCTGGGCTGCTGGATTTGCCATGAAAGACGGTAAATCGTAGGTTTCGTCGTGTTTATTTACTCAGTTTTAATTTTCAAAATTATTGTATTTTTTTGTCTTTCACTGAAAATATATCTAGTAGTTATTATCAGAAGAATTGAAGGTACTTTCTAAATCACTTATATTCAGTTTTTGTTGCCTTTTTGTATGTATTTGGTCTTCCAGCTGTATCTTTTTCAAGTTTTTTTCTCGACTATTTTGTACGCATTTTTACCCAAAATTTGTCGAGACAACAACAAATTCGACGAATGCCGAGCCGGTTAATTTTATAAGTAGAATTATAGAAAATTGTTTTGTTCCTTTGGTCTATTCCTTCTTTCTTTCTGGTAAATTTTGCATTTTAAAAGCTCTATAATTTTGTGTATAATTTTGGCTAAAAAGCAGTGATGAAGAGGGGAAAAAACAGAGAAAGAGCAAAGCAGTGCCATAGATCACAGTGCATTATTGCGTCACTATGCCCGCGCATTAGCCAATCAAATCGTCTGTTATATCACACTTATATTATAATATAATATTAACAACATGCAAAAAATTTTGACCGGAGACCTTAAGTAGATGATGCTCATTTTTTGGAAAGTAAATCTTTACTCAAATAATTGAGTAAATTTGCCTATGAATTTGAGTAATTTCACTCAATATGTTTAGTCACCGTGGATGCGTTATGTTACTCAAGTTTATTTTTAGTCAAAAGTTTACAATGAAATTATAACAAATTATTTTTCACCCGGCTCGGTTTCCTTTGTTCTTATCGGGGAATATATTCAATATTCCCCTCTAATCAATTTCCGTCACCTGCAATTAATAACTCCCCCTAATATTCACCTGCAATGAGTCTTTGGAGCACAAAAAATGAGAAAAAAAAACAACATCACGAAGGCAATATGGCATTAAGAATTATTTCTATCCTGACTCATTAACGCGACCTCGCAGTGTGAAAAATAAGTACGTAATAACTCCCCCTAATATTCACCTGCAATGTCTTTGGAGCACAAAAAATGAGAAAAAAAAACAACATCACGAAGGCAATATGGCATTAAGAATTATTTCTATCCTGACTCATTAACGCGACCTCGCAGTGTGAAAAATAAGTACGTTATTTTGAGGCACCTCGGGGATATGTGTTTATTCACCTCGGCGCTGCGCGCCTCGGTGAATAAATCACATATCCCCTCGTTGCCTCAAAATAACCTATGCTTAATTCATCATTGAGTCGGTTTTCTTTGATGTACCGAGGTAATTATTTTTAATAATCACTTTCAATATTAATTAGCTGAAAAGATGGAGGGAAACTCAGGAAATTGTCGCTCCAATCAGACGAAACAGACAAAACTATGTTGGAGGACCTGCTCAACCATGAAATAAAGATTATAAACACCTTGAAACTCGGGATTTATGTCAAATAATGCCCTCGTACGCTGCGCGTCCTCGGGTCATTATCTGACGTAAATCCCTCCTCTGCTTTATCCCCTGCCCCAACGGCGCGGAACCCCGTTCCGAGCCTAAGCCCTGGGCGAGGAATTAACTAATGTTATCGCGGGCGCATGGTTTATGGATGTATGGGTGGTCATTTCACTGATCTCAAAGTATGGCTGTTTACAAAGGCAAAAATATAAAAAATACATATAAGTAAGGTTGAAAAAAATCGCATCACATAACAAATTGTAAAACTTTTCTTCATATTTTAATTAAACGTAAACAGTTCTAAGAATTGATTTAGTATGAGAAATCCTTTGTTTGACTTTGTATTATTAAATAAATTCTTGTTGTCCAGGGTTAGGTTTGGGTTGTGATTGCGGTCAAGACCAAAGAAATATATTTGTGACTGAAACAAGGATTTAGTCATAATATTTACAATAATGGCGTCACAACGATTGAGCTAGCAATTACGATGGTTAGGAGCTTACGATTGTATTTAGACTGGGGTTGTTAATATGGAAAGATGAGGCCGTGCATGTTTGATATATCGTCAAATTAATTAAGGAGCAAGTCAGAATTTACTATACTAATAATTTTTCTAGTATATTTTATAAATTGATAGTTCTGTATTTAAAAGTGTTTAAGTTTCATCTATTTTTTCAGGTTTGTACAATAAATTCAAAAAACAATTATCGTGTTGCCATTACTAACATGACGTGAGCAACGCAAGCCTGCGTTCAGTCACAAAATAAAGCACACAGAAGGTCGACTTGAGTAATCGCTGTTACGCCATGATTCGTCATAAAAATGCTGATACCATGGTGCTAGCCTGAGTGCGCGCTTGAAAGGCATCCCCCCTGGACATCTGTCATTTCGAATATTATCAGGAGGATGAATGCCTCTCAAACGCGCACTGGCTAGGACCATGGCGTCAGCATTTTTACGGTTCCGCCAAAATCAACCAAGGAACCACCAAGAAGTCGGGCTTCTGCATGTGACCTTATTCTGTGGTTCAGTGTTGGCGTAATTACTAATACTTCAAGTTGAAACATATAGGCAACTAAGGCAAGGCGTTGTTGCATGCATGTATTTCTAGTCTTATACATAATATTCATGCGCGAAATTTCATAGTTTTATATTAAAACTCCTACCTCATTTGCTTATACAATGATTTGTACGATTCTGGGACTTCGCTTTTCGTCAAAAAATAGCCATCGTCACTTCCAGATATGCAGTCGAATTTAATTTCAGTTTTCTTCTCGCCAACTTTCTGGTGCATTGTGGCTGAGGTCGCACCAATATCGATAGAAACCTGAAGATTACCTTCCTCGGTCTTAAAATCCGGTGCTCGCCAGGATCCTCTGACCTCTTCAGGAATATTGCAGGATGTAGTCCTCTTACGTGCTGGTGTGGAAAAAAGAAAAGCTATTTCCACAGATCTGGAATAATTATCCTATTATTGCGTGACCAAAATCCATATAATTATAGGGAAGGTTGTTTTTTGTTTTGAAACGTTTAATATAATTCTTTCCAAACTGACCGTTCTCATCGCAGGAATTAATTATTTCTTCACCTGAGCGCATTGCACCGCATTTTTGAACAAATACGCCAATAAAATGACTACCGCTTTTGTAATAAGTTGTACATAATCCATATTATTTATATAGACAGCTATCGCATAAGCTATTCTGCATTCTGATTGGGCCTCTACTAGCAGGATAATAATTCATATCTTGCAAGTAGAGAAAACAAGATGGCGGCTCAATAATTATCGGAGTCTTGCGAAAGATAAAACAGCAAGTTGCTCGCTCTTTATATAGCCTTAACTGGAATAAAAACACAATGAAAAAACTCCCAACATTTACCGGCTAGCAAATATTATTTATATATAAAACTGGTTAGTTTTGAAAAAAATAATGCCGAAAGAGCGAAGATGAAACCAAGAACTGAAATCAGAATATATTTTTTTTGGAATGTTCCAACTACTGATTTGAAAAAACGAGCAGGAGTGTTTTCTCAGGTTTGGGCCAAGTTCTGAGGATCGCCAAACTAATTTTCAAAATATTGCCACTGTCTATGAAAAAACGCAGTGGTTGTCTATGTAATAAACGAGCTGTTCTAGTCACTCTCGCCTTTTATGACCACCGAGTTATTACAGGAATAAGAAGACATATGACATATGGAAGATATTGAAGGTGGAAGATATTGAAGGTGGAAGAACTGAGAGAGAAGATGCCAAAAAGTAGAATAAGATGATATGGTCACGTGAAGAGAATGGAGGAAAAAGAGCTTGTCAGTTGGACTGCGGAGCATAAGAAATCAGGAACAAAGAAGAGAGGTAAGCCGATGAAGCGGTGGAAGGATTGTGTGCGGGATGGTATACAATATAGAGATATGGATCTGGATAAAGTTGACGAAAGAATAGACTGGAGAATGGTGTGGAGGCGTCTCTACCGCCTTGAGCGAACAAACGGGATGATGATATGATGAACATATAGCTAAGGTGTTTAATTCGATATTATAGCAATCTGAGAGCTCGGCTGTTTGCCGTCTTTGTGATCAATAAAGCGTCATTTACTGAAGTTTCGCTGGGATATTTGTTCAGATCGGATATCTCTCCGACCAGCGAAGTCGTTCAAGAAACTGCCGAGCGATTTTGGTTTGACATTTTTAACGCTTATTCGAGACTCAGAGTTATAGAGTTATTTAAATCACAAATGTGGAAGACTAGATTTTCAGCCATATTTCTTGCTGTTTTAAGGTACGTTTACAGCTGCGATTTGTCGGGCCGATTTTGGCAAATAATCGTTGCCCCTTCTTCGACATTTAGCGATTTAAACGTTCAATTAAAGCTGTTCGAAAGAAAAATCGTTGAATAGTGAGAAAAATCTGTGTTTTGCTGCAGCGAGCAAAATCGGCCCGACCAATCGCAGCGTGTAAATGTACCTTTATACCCCGATTTCACAACTGCGCGCTTGAAAATTTGTATAAGGAAGTGCGTATTTTTAAAATTTGATGTTAATAGAGGCCCGTGCATAGACTAAAGTATGAGGAACCAATTATTTGGTCGCCCGCGGGGACACCAGGTCATGAATGAATGTGCAACTGACACTTTTCAAAATGATCGCGAGGTCAGAAAGCAGCAGTCGAACTGTCGGGTATAGCCACATCTTCAGATTAAATATTTCCACCCAATGTTTTCTCTGTGGAAAATGGAAGGCCGTTGTATAGGAGTCATTTACAGTAGGCAAATTAGTGCAGACTAAGGAGTGAGTATGTTGTTGCGAATTTCAGGTAATAGATCGTGGTAATGAAATATGGTAATTAGCATATACAGTAAGATACGAGATAAGGCTATATAGCTATAATACTCCTTCAAACCTTTAGAATGCCCTTCTTCAACCATGAGACAACAAACCACCAAAACAATCATGAAATGATAAAACATCGTCATCGCTTTTCTTTTCTTTAACTAAACAACAAATGTCCCTTTCTTTAAGTGAAGAATAAATATGAGATACACAGTAACAATGCAAATATCTTTATACTCATACTAGCTACACGTTGGAGTTGTTGTTATAATTTATTTGCTTTGAGCGGGGTTTAAGAAAATGCAATCCATGTTATGCTTTCGACGGTCGTATCTCAGGGTGTTAAAAACGTACAACCATAACATCTCTTCCGATCTATAACATCGTTATAAAACAATTCGCTTTTTTTTTAATCTCCAAACTGATCGATGTTATACCTATCAGGCCAATATGAAGTACAAAATTTTACCTGCAATTTATTTGCTCTTCTCTCTCTGCCTTTCCCCGCTGTAAATGGTCTAAGAGTGAATATGTGGCGTGTTTTCTATGCGATGTCGTCATCGTTGTGAAGCAACTGCACGCTTGTTAACTTCATTAAAAGTTCGATGTGAGAAAAGTATTGCCTAAATATCTTATATCAGACTTTATATCAAAAACGTCCTTCATTTTTTATCCTATATTTCCTTAACGTTAAAAAGTTATTGTCGATTCTTTGTATGCAGATTGCTTAGCGTAGGAAAAAGTTTGATTTGGCACATTAAAAACTACCGGTTATTTCTGGTTTTCGGTGTGATATTCAACAGGTATACGATTAACGCATCGATAGCTTTTGTCAGGTCGACTTATCTCTGTAAGATTCTTTTTATGAGATCGCTTTAGGTTGAAATACATAAGGGTATTAAACTATAGGCGGCGCCAAACTAATGTAGAGCTGTTATAATCCAATGTCTAGATACGGAACGTTGAACACATTATCTTTTAAACAAATGACTGTAGGAGAAATAACGCATTAGGTGATTTTATGATGTAATGCATAAATATCTTATATACACTACATAGCCCATCTCTTTTAGTAAAATTGAAGCCCAGAATATTCGAGCGGTAACCCCCATTTGAATAGATGGCGGCCATGTTGGAGTTCCCCACTCGCTAATAAACGCTTAAAACAACAACAATAACTTTCTTCATATGAATAGTTAAAAATGTATTTGGAATAGGTTGAACTTAATGTTTAAGTTCCCTGTTTAAGAAATAGAAAACATACGAATCTTCTAATTTCATGGGAATATCCTTAGTCTGTAATCACGGCTTCAATTTTTGAATTGCATAATAATTAAATGCACTATCTAGTGCATATAAGATATCTATGATGCAATGACTCATCGGTCTATGTTTACAATCATGCACTACTCGTATAAGCTAAGTAACTAATTAGGGAACTTAAGATGTGCTTGATATAATGCGTGGACGTGACGAAAAACCAGTTACTTATGTTTTATTTTGAATTTGTTGCCAATTTGTTTTTCACCTGTATCCGTCTTTGCTTACAAAAAGTACAGCCATATAGTTTTAACCCGTATCGCTGACACTGTGAAGTTAGCGTATCATATCTTAAACTCTCTAATAAAAATGCTACTCTTTATGCAACCTTATAGATAGTGTTAATTTGGGCTACTATTTAATCAGAAGAGAGAAATTTTTCCATTCGGTTCAATCGATAAATCGAATGTTCAGTTCGATATTTCTTATTCAAATAAATGACATGGAGGTAAAACAACGCATGAGGTGATTTTGTGATCTAATGTTCGATCTATTTCAGCTAAACTAAGAGCTAGTATAGAGTAAAATATGGTATAAATGATTCGCCTTTTTTGCCTACGTATAGAGATTCTGTAATTCTGATAACTTCTTGCCATGAATTTAAAACTATAAAAAATATTTTTGCAAGCAAAAAGTTTTGCCTGAGGGGTTCACTCTTAAATAAATAAATGACAGGTAAAAACCACGCATGAGGGCATTTATAATTTATGATCTAATCTTGTGTTAATTTTAATCAATGGCCAAACTGAAATAATTTAAGTATATATTATACAGGATATACCACTTTATACATGTGAAATTGTTGGACGTTCAGTATTTAGAGGAAAACCTCCAACTGCCGTAAACTCACTCATATTTTCGTAGTGATTGTCTGAAAGGTTTCTTTCAAGAAAATGATTGACAGGTACAAGAAACGCATGAGATCATTTTGTATGTGTGATCTAATGTGGAGAGGATAACTATAATATTGATCGTTAAAAATATTAAATTCATACACGACACTGACTTCTCTCTGTGAAAACATTGACTGGGTGTTTCATCACTGCGTGTTTATTTGAAGGTTAGTATTTCAGTAGTGAGTCCATGACCTTGAATTTGAACAGATTCTAAATATATATCTTTTTAAAATTATCATTCCCTCCAGTCAGTTCGAAATAAATTTCTTTTTTAACATGTCAAAACTTAGTATCTTTTGGTGGCGTACGTTAATCCTTAATTGTACATGAAAAATCATGATATGCGATCAATTAATTATTTTGTCGTTTGATTATCCACTCTATATAAAGTGATACTTAATTTATTTATTAACTTTACAATCATACAAAATTATAAAACGATTGAAGGTATGGTCAACAGGACATGAGTCCCATGTGAAGACCAACCTGATATGGAACAATAAGTAGATATACATTAAAGACAAGGACTAGAACACTATTTACATAACTATATAAAAATTAATAGTTTAGATTATGAGCAACAGCTTAATTTGAAAGAACGGCATTTAAAGATCAGAGTAAATGATAAATAGCAGGCGTAAAGTAGAAAACGGCATCCAGAAACAGGTTTCTGACAAGATCTTGACAACGGCCGTTGTTTTACAGTAATCCAGTGAGCATGACTATTCGCCAAAGTTTTTACAATGGTGTCGGTGACATTGGTACTTGCGTATACAACAGCTTGTGACTAGACAGACCCGAGGATAGACTGCAATTGTTTATGCATCAGTCAATTCTGGCATTGCCCATCCCCCCCCCGGGCAACCGCCGGGCATTTGCACCCTTTTTTGCCCGGGGGCCGGGCATTGGTACTTGCAAAGTTGTCCCGGGGGCGGGGAATTGATTACCGGCCGGGCATTTGACTCGACCGGACGTTTCTGCTACGAACACGTGCTATTATATTAAAATGGCGTCGAAGAATTCGGGCGTAAAAATGAGGATTTTGTCGATAGTTTCATTCACAAAACGTCACACGAATCGCACATCAGAAACTATTATTTAAAGTTGTGTTTAACTATCTAGCATAAAAACACTAGAATTCATAGTACAATCCTTGTTTCATATCTTGCTACGTGATTGTATATTAACCGCTGAACCGACGAGCACGTTTTTCATGTTCAGAAGTTGGGATGACTGCTGTAGCTTTTATACAAGGAAACTAATAATGTTATGGAAGTTTTGAGGTCTAAAATACATTCTATAAATGAGTCGGTGTGCCCTGGGACCGGGCATTTGTCATCTTTTTTTTGCCCGGGGGCGGGGAATTGCCACGCTTTTTCTGCCCGACCCCCGAGAATTGTCAACTTAAAGAAAAAAAAGTGCAAATGTCCGGGGGTTGCCCGGGGGGGGGGATGGGCAATGCTAGAATTGACTGATGCATTATTCAAAGTAAAAGCCATGGAACTATATCAGAAATTAAGCAAAAATTAACAATTTTTTGGAACAAACATATTACAGATCATGCAGTAGCCATGAAATTCATAAAATTATATAGATACTCGCAGATAAACTGTATATCAATTACCAAGGGAAATCCCGCATATACTGCAATTCGAAGGTTAAAGTTCAACCAGAAGACCAACAGATGAATGTACATAATTAAATAATTCAAATTCAAAAGTTATGTTAAATATAGAAAAGTTACTTAATTAAACAGTCAATAAAGTATATTATAATATAACATTTGTAAATTCTGAACGCTGGTTGGCTAAGAGCCGTGTTGATATAACTCCATGTCAACACGGGAAATGTTCCGCCGCTTGTAACACGGAAATTTTTCTTATTCTTCGGGCTTTTGACATTGCTATATTATAAAACAAATATAAAACATTTTTTCCGTATTGATATATAGTTATATCAACACTCGTGGAAGTTGGGAAAACTCGAAATTGTGTGAAAACACTCCGCCCTTCGGGCGTCGTGTTTCCACACAATTTCTCGTTTTCCCAATTTCCACTCGTGTTGATATAACTGTATATCAACACGGAAAATGTTTTATATTTGTTAATAACAAAATGTTCCAAAAAGATCCAAGAATTTGTAATTGAGCATAAATATTGCTTTCAGTCAAAGAAAACATGGATAAAATGAAATAAAGTTGTTGCCATGACGAGGACGCAAGTCGTAATTTAGATTCAAATATCCAACGGTCAAAATAAAAAAAACCCGTCGATAATCAATAAAATAATAAGCCAAAAGTCACGAAACGTACACAGCTTCTTCGGGACAGAATTCGCAAATTACGGATAAAGTTTCATTATTAAACCAGAAGACCAATACAGAGAAAATATTAGAAAACCAAAATAGCCAATTGTAATGAGATGCACAACAAACCCGGACAACCACGATATAAATATAATCCAAAAGAACTGACAAATCCCAAACGAAACCAATATATATTGAATAAGAACTGAATTACGTAGATATTTATCATTAGATTGATAAATGGGTTGATTAAAAACAGTAAAGATTGACCTCAAAATACACAGAAATAAACGGAGGTCAGTCAACCGCAAACCACCATAGGCGCTTATACAGTTTGGTTTATTAAATTTATTTATAAAATAAATGATATTAAAAATGAGCGGAGTGGCTTGTGTTGGTTTTAATTGGGGGTCCGGACTCTGAGGTTCACTTCCCAGCCTTATAAAACACAGCACTCTGATTGTCTCTTTTAGTCGCTAGAAACGCTTTAAGCATTTCACATCAAGAATTAAGGCTCAGGAGGTGCCCATTTTAAATGGCTGCCCTCGCCGCTTCACGTTGTTTCCGGCGCCCCTGGACCTGTACAATGTTAGGATCTTCCAATCTTGATTTTTTTATCCATGATTATAGAAAAATGCAAGCATAATATGAAGCTTTCTCAATGTTTGCACTCATCTTTAGAAACTGTATTGAATCGCCTGAAATGAAGAACTTCACCATTCTTTTCATGCTCCTGGTCTCGGTTGAAGTGTGTTGGTCATGCGGTTTTGGAAAAGGTCGGTGTACAATCTTCGGAGGATGCAGTGACACGGAGTATTGTTATCGCAGCCATTGTAAGCCTAAGAGTGGTAAATTGGGAAGCTGCATTTGGGGATTTCAGCAAAACCAATGTTTAAGCGGTCTTTCTTGCAAGTGCAACTCAAAGCTTTGCAATGCAGCTGCAATAACTGGAGAATTGGGGAATGGTCTAGGAGGACTTGGCATCCCGGATCTTGGTAGTGCCATCAGCTCTTGTTGCCGTTGTGCGTAAATACGTGGCCTAAATAGTTATCCTGAACCAGAAAACGTTTCAGCTAGTGAAAGTTTGTGATCTAAAAGCTCAAATTAAAATACAAAATATGTAGGCTTGTTTGAATAATTAGTAATTGTTTTAATATTGGGCCAAAAGAATTTTGTTGCCACAATAGGTCCTTGGCAGCTGGCCTAAAAACACTTTGCATAACAATTATATCTGGGTAACAAATCCCACAGCGTTCCATGCATACTCTCCAGTCCCTCATTGTACTTTCTCATCCAGATTCTTTGGACAACTCGCTCGATAGGACCAACAGTTGAAGGTGTTTTGTCCCCGAGCCAAAGGTACAGAGCGCCGTTCCGGGGGTAAGCTCGATGCGAGGGTACTAATTCCACACGGCTAATTATACCCAGGTGTGCGAAAACACAAGGAAGTGCAAAGTTGTCGTCCATTTTGTTTATGTCATGGACGGTTTTCGACGTTACGCGTTTGCGGCGAGTACAAGCTCTCTGGCTATAAAATTGTTTTTCATTTTGAAGGACGTATTTTGCAGCAATTTTTTTAAAATTTTGTAAAAAAAGAAAACATGTTTTTTTTCCATTTTAACTAGAAATGAGCCTGGAGTTTCATGAATTAATGGCTGTTAAACCGTGAAACAAAGTTTGTAATAATTGTTTTGATGTTGATGTTTTTAATAATTTAATACGGCTGTTGTGCCGGTTTGGGTAAGTGTAAACATTTCAGTAATAAAATTCCAAGCAGTACTTGCTTTGCGCTGTCGATTTGATTCATATGTGTGAAATTGTTAAGCCATTCTTCACTGGATAATTCACAATAAAGAATGTATTTTAATGGCAGCTAGCGCATCAGTTGCATTGGTTTTTATGTTTGATTATGGTCTTAATATCTTATGTGGAGTTTTTATACTTCATCTGTTAAGAAAGTCGAGGGGTTGCTACATGCATGTATTTTCTAGTACATGGAATTTTCTTGACATGTTTTAGTTTCTCCAGAGTGCCCTAGTCTTTCCGAGTCTTTCCGAGATCTCGATCTTGCGTCTTGTTTTAAAGATGTTGTATTCCGGGGGAGTACACGGCTTCAGGTATGTTTTTAAAATGAGGGAGTGGTCAAATTCGCTCGCATGCTTCCTTCCATGTGATCATGAGTTGTTCTAGCTTGTTATTGGGGGTTTTATACGGATTTTACTGAGGAGAAAAAATTCAGATTAGTCCCCGAGCTAACGGCGTGGAGCGCCGGCCGAGGGCACTAATTCTACCAGGCCATTTATACCAGGGGAAACGAAAGCATTAGCGAAATCCAAAGTTGTGTCATGGTGTATGGGTAGACCTCCCAGGGCCTTTTTTAACATACAAGCTGGGGGGCAATTCCCCCCAGTCCCCCCTTGTGCCCCCCCACGAAATCACATTTTGCCCCCCCCAGGAAAAGTCCCTTTTTCCTAAAATTATACAAACAATCCAACGAAGATTAACAAATAGATAAACGGAAAGTAAGTTTTAGGCTTTATCCTTTGTTCTTGTTTAACAAAATCGATTTAAATTGTTACTTTTTTACCACTAAGTAATGATAAATTATTGTTAATAATTTTTTTATTTTTTGGATGCTAACAATGCAGGAAATAGCATTTCACGGTTTCAAATTTCAAAAATATTCTTGGGATTATCCCTCTAATAAGTAATGATAAATTACAGTTAATATTCTATTTTACTTTTTGTGCATTTTTCCATCTTTTATTTCAAATACAACTATAGTTAGCATAAATTTTGGAGCAAATTTGGATGCTCAGAATGCAGGAAATGACATTTCCGGGAGTCAAATTTCAAAAATTTTCTGGGGGAGTACACCCCCAGACCACCCCCCATTCAAGCGTGGTATATTTGCCACACACGTGGCTTTCAGTCATCGTTATCCCCCTCTAATATATTATCTCGCAGAAAGGTCCCTTTTCAAAAAATGCCCCCCCACGAGAAAATCCTTAAAAAAGGCCCTGAGACCTCCTCACTGATCTCAAATATATGGCGGATTGTCAGGAGTGGAATAAGCAAGATTTCAATTTTGAAAGATATTATCTAGAAAATTGTTCCATAAAGAAGAGCTTTAAGCAATTTTGCTTTTCGAAATGGGGAAGAATATAGTGAGTGAAATATAGGGCTAGTTTGCTTTGCATAATTAATGTTTATGAATTTTGATATATTCTGTGTTGGTATAATGTACTCAGGTGAATAAGATGCTTGTGATGTTACTCTGAGTATATATCCACACTGGGCACGCTTGAAAAATATGCCTGGCCACGGTGGGAATCGAACCATTACGATCTTTGGAACACCAGTTCAATGCTCTGCCAACAGAGCTACGCGGTCAGGTCGGTTCGAGCACGTGATATTTCGGAACTGAGTCTAGTTCCTTCGATATCAATGTAATCTAGTAATCATGATGTTTTCTGTGTTGGTGTAATGTACTCAGGTGAATAAGATGTTTGTGATGTTACTCTGAGTGTGTATCCACACCGGGCACGCTTGAAAAATATGCCTGGCCAGGGAAGGAATCGAACCTATGCCCTTTGCAACACCAGCCCAATGCTCTGCCAACAGAGCTACGCGGTCATAGGGGTTTCCACAAGTTGCTCGGTAACTTTTTGTCAACTTTTCATTTTATGAATAATTTTTGTTTTAAACGACAACTTTTGTAACTTCGAGCAACTTTTCATGAATATGAGTCAAATCACCCACAGAAATCAGGAAATCGGGTTAGATATCAGGAAGTCAAGAAATGGCGTTATAATCAACAGAAATCAGGTTAGAAATCAGGTTAGAAATCACGTGATTTCGAAATCTCGTACGCTTTATGTGGCCGTGTCGCACCCCTCGTTGATTCATCACTGATAATCGAAAATAGATGGGACAGCCTCGTTTTTCAGCAATTTCTAGGATTGGCCTTTTATTAATTGCTCTCCCTTACTAACCCATTAAGCGTCAGCACTCTCCCCTTGACAAGCAAAATTGTCTGACGTTAGAGTAAAATAATAAAATAGGGTGCAGTGCGAATCAATGGGTTAACTGGACCCATGGGCAGATAGGTCAGTTAACCCATTAAGCGCCAGCAATCTCCCATTGATGAGTAAAATCATCTGCATGCCGTATAGACAGATTAAAATAATAAAGTAGGGCGCGATGCGTTAATATAGTCGTTGGGTGTAAATTGCTTCTCACACAATACTGAATTTTTGGTTGGTATCCAGTCTGCCCATTTCATTGCTGTTATCCAACTTTTTAGCCAGCTGGGATTGGTTATAAGAAATCTAAATAGTGTGAAGGGATATCGGTATTGTTTGGTTCACTGTGTGAACAAAACTCAAAATATTTTGATTTGAACAGGACAAGGACCTCTGTAAAAGTTGTTGTCAACATGCAAGAGAATCTGCTGATTTTAAAATCTCGCGACGAAAATCTACTCAACAAAAGATGGGAAATGTTCTCGAAGTGCGTGCACCAGAAACAATTTTTAGCGGGAAATGTAGTCTGCGCGCATGTAAGCAACATCAACAATCCTCGCGCGCAGTCACGCCATCAAACAACGAAAATCAAACGGTATTTGAGAACAATGTCTCCTGATGATCGCAGTGATGCGTGAAACTCGGAGTAGAGCCAAAAAGACATTTTAAGTAAGAATAGTAATTATATATATATATATATATATATATATATATATATATATATATATATATATATATATATATATATATATATATGTATATATATCTACAGGGTGTATCAAAAAAAGCGTAATCCTCGACTGAAATGTAAATTGCTAAACAAATAATAGACGAAAATATATATATATATATATATATATATATATATATATATATATATATATATATATATATATATATATATATATATATATATATATATATATATATATATATACAGGGTGTATCAAAAAAGCGCAATCCTCGACTGAAATGTAAATTGCTAAACAAATAATAGACGAAAACGTTAAAGTTTACATTCATTTTAAAGCGTAGCCATTCAGCTTTCTAACAGTGGGTTGTTTCTTAAATTTGACTCATTGGTTCGCGGGTAATAATACTTTACGTTATTGCGATTGGAGATTAAAAAAATTGAGATGGAATAACAAATCGTTCTCATGAAAATAACTGATTTTTCATTAAAACAAACAAATGTTGCATTTTATTAAATGGATTGTAACAATAAGTATAATTACGGCTTTTCTCCCACTATTTTTAACTCAGTTTGAAACTTCAAATGCGATATAATTTTGGCTTGGACTATCTAAGCTGACTGACATCAACTTGCTATAATTTCTGTTTACATTACATCGGGATTCGATGACAGTCTGGCTCAGACACCAGAATGTTTTGACGATTTTTAGCATTCGTTTAGGATTTTCAAACAACCTGGTCTCTTTTAAAATACTTTTAATTTGTTCTTACGTGGTTTTCCAGATGTAGTGACGACAACATTAAAGTTTAAAGAAGAAAATTCTAACATTTAAACCGACTAAACAATAACATAGTAAACTTGCATAATTAAACAGCAACTAACAATGATAGGTTTTACTAAATCTTTTCCTCTGCAATTATTACTAGCATTGGAGACAAGGATAATAGTTTGTTTGAAAGAGAAAAGAAGGGGCTTTGAAGTAAGCCTAAAAGCGTTTAACTAGAAATGGTATTTCGAAAGTTATTAAGCACAAAAGATGAATTGCGTTTATTTTGATACACCCTGTATATATATATAATATTTCTGTGTTGGTGTCAGTGGCGTAGGCAGCCCGACAATTTGGTCATGCTATGCAAATTTTATAAATCATTATCATTATTAATTTCTCTAGAAATTGATTGTTTTCACGGTCTATGAACACGGAAATATTTGGATAGCATGACTAAATTGTCGGGCTGGCTACGCCACCGCATGAAAAGTTCAATGCTGCATGGTGTTTTGTTTTGGGTCGATTTTTAATTTTAATTGGTGAAATTTTTTCATTTAAGACGCGAAATTTGACTTGATGGAAAGCAAAATTGCGCCTGTTTGTTGTTCTTGGTAATGACACAGAAAATCAGTACTGAGTTGACAAACAAAACAGAAATATTGTCGTCTGTCATCATGTGGTTCAATCTTATTAAATTAACAACTTAAGTTAAACAATTTGAGTTAACAAGATTATTATAAATATAAAAATACAAAGCACTATGAAATTTCTTTGTCATTTGGCACACGGAACGAAAATCCTTTTTACTGCGCTATCCTGAGACTGCAGTTGAAAAGCAGCCCTGTCCCGGAAAAACAGACTACATATGAACTCATTAATGGTGTAAAAACCATTACAGAAACAAGAAAGAACAACCAAACAACAATAAATTTTCAATGAAAAATACAGGTTTACCCATCAAAAGCGTTCCAAACTATCTTTGAATTTTGCAAAATTCATTTTTTTGGCTATTTTCCTCTCATTTTGCAGATTTTGTGCTAATTTTCCGCAAAATATAAAAAAACGTTTTAAAAATGTTTGAATGGCTTTGTACTATCTGTAAAATAAGTCGAAAAAATTGATATTTGAGAAAAAAGCATGATGCAAAATCACGCTTAAAGCGCGAAAACTGTTTCCATAGAAAAACTCGTCAACATAAACAATCGTTTTCAAAACATCTTTCCGACCTTGAAATTTTTTCTGCAAAAATAGAGGATACGGACTACCAAGAATTACGAATAAGCAAATTACAGTACATTATCTTGGAAATGCGAAAATATAGATGCACCTTATCAAGCAGCATAAAGTTTTAAAGACAATGAGATGCTCCAATTAAAATATACAATTTCCGAAATATACCCAACGATTTCTGAAACCCAGTATACCTCGAATATATTTAAAAGTTAAAACTGCATCTGTATCTCAAATATACTTAAAACTGCAGAAACTGGTAATCCAAAGTATCAGAAATTCTGATACTTTTGAAGTCCTCCCTATCTCAAAGTTACTTAAAATTCCAGACTGGCAGTCCAAAGTATCAGAAATTCTGATACTTATGAAATCCTCTGCACTGTATGTCAAATATACTTAAAATTGCAGACCGGTAGTCCAAAGTATCAGAAATTCTGATACTTTTGAAATCCTCAGTCCAAAGTATCAGAAATTCTGATACTTTTCAAATCCCTGATGTGAAATATACTTAAAACTGCAGAAACTGGTATTACAAAGTATCAGAAATTCTGATACTTTTGAAATCCTTTGCACTGTATGTCAAATATACTTAAAATTGCTGCCTGGTAGTTCAAAGTATCAGAAATTCTGATACTTTTTACTTAAAATTCCAGACTGGCAAAGTATCAGAAATTCTGATACTTATGAAATCCTCTGTACTGTATGTCAAATATACTTAAAATTGCAGACCGGTAGTCCAAAGTATCAGAAATTCTGATACTTTTTACTTAAAACAGACTGGTAGTCCAAAGTATCAGAAATTCTGATACTTTTGAAATCCTCTGCATTGTATGTCAAATATGCTTAAAACTGCAGAAACTCGTAGTCCAAAGTATCAGAAATTCTGATACTTTTCAAATCCCTGAAATGTGAAATATACTTAAAACTGCAGAAACTGGTATTACAAAGTATCAGAAATTCTGATACTTTTGAAATCCTCTGCACTGTATGTCAAATATACTTAAAATTGCTGCCTGGTAGTTCAAAGTATCAGAAATTCTGATACTTTTCAAATCCCTTATATGTGAAATATACTTAAAACTCGTAGTCCAAAGTATCAGAAATTCTGATACTTTTGAAATCCTCTTATGTGAAATATACTTAAAACTCGTAGTCCAAAGTATCAGAAATTCTGATACTTTTGAAATCCTCTATATCTCAAATATACTTACTAGAAAATACATGCATGCTGCTGCCTGGTAGTTCAAAGTATCAGAAATTCTGATACTTTTCAAATCCCTTATATGTGAAATATACTTAAAACTCGTAGTCCAAAGTATCAGAAATTCTGATACTTTTGAAATCCTCTATATCTCAAATATACTTACTAGAAAATACATGCATGCAGAAACCCTCGCCTTGCTGACAAAACCATTGTATTTTCCGAACATGAAGTATCTAAGTTGTCATGGTAACACGATAATTTTTTAAGAATATTCTTACAAATGAAAAATCGCTTATAAATATCACTTTTAATTACAAAATTATTAATTTCCCAACATATATATCTTAGGTATGTTATTATACGTAATATAAGCCTCGATTTAAGGTAAAATTCAACCACAAACGCTTCGCAAAGAGTTTTAAAGTCATTAGTGTTCTTTAATATAAAACTAAACTGCCTTTTAAATTTTAT